GACTGTTAAAAATAGGATAAAATAGACTGTTAAAATATAGGGGTAACTATGACTGTATAAATATGGATAAATATAGAGTATAAAAAATTTGGAATAACTATGACTTTATAATATAGGGTAACTATAGACTGTAAAAAGGTAAAATATATAGACTGTATTAATATGTCGTAATATAATGTGTAAAAATTTGGGTAACTATACATGTGTAAATTGGGGTAAAATAAAGACTGAATAAATAAAAAACATAGTGTTAAATATAAAGGGGTAACTATAGACTGTATACATATGGATAACTAAGACTTTAAATTGGATAAATATAAATGTATAAAATAGAAAACTATGGGCTGTATACATATAAAGTAACTATAAGTAATAAATATAGGAGTAACATAGACTGTATAAATTAGGAAAAAATTAATTATACATATAGGGTAAAATATAACTGTATAAATTGGAGAAAAATAGACTGTAATAAAGGGGGTAAAATTAGACTGCGTAAAATAGGAAAACATGCGTATAAAAATGGAATAATTAGACTGTATAAATAGATAACTAACTATACATTTGGGAGTAAAAATAGACTGTATAAATAAAAGGGGGTAACTATATGACTGTATTAAAAAAGTCTAAAATAGATGGTAAATAATAGGAGAAACTATCACTGGTTTAAAAATAGGAGAACTAAAGACTGAAAAAATAAGGAGTAAATAAGACGTATAAATATAGGAGAACTATAGTTAACATATAGAAACTTAGACGTATTAAATAAGGAGTAACTTAGATGTTTAAAATAGGAAAAATATAGAGTATACATAAGGGTAACTTAGACTTAAAATTAGGAGAAAAAATAGACTGTTAAAATGGAGTAATATAGACTGCGTAAAAAATAGGAAAAAACTATAGACTGAATAAATTAGGGGTAAAATAGACGATAAAAATAGGATAAATAAGACTGAAATATAGGAGGGAAATTAGACGAACAATTGGAGAACTATGACTGTATAAATATTGAGTAACAATAGACGTATTTAAAATAGTCGTAAAAATATAAATGTGTAAATAAGGGAATATACCTGTTAATATAGGGGAATAAAGACTGAATAAACAAAGGGTAAATAGACTGTATAAATATAGGAGTCTATAGACTGTATACATATAGGAGAAATATAGCTGTATAATATAGGGTAATAAGACTGTTAAATATAGGAATAAAATATAAATGTTATATATGGATAATATAGACTTAAATTAGGATAAAATAAGACGTAAATATAGGGGTAACTATAGACTGCGAAATTAGGAATAACTATAGACTGAAAAAAAATAGGAGTAACTAAGACTGTATAAATTTTAAGAGAAATATACTGTATAAATATAAAGGAGTAACTATGCTGTATACATATTGGAGTTTAGGGGTGTAAATAAGGAGTAAATTATAGCTGTATTAAAGTTTAATATAGACTGGTTTAAAAAAAAAAAAATAATTTAAAACTGGTAAATAGAGAACTATGACTGAATAAAAATAGGGTAACTATAGACTGTAAAATATAGGGGTAAAATTATGATACATATAGATAAATATAGACGTAAATATAGGGTAAAAATAGACTTATCATTAAAGGAGTAATATAACTGTATAAAAAGGAGAACTAATTTGACGTATTTAAATGCGTAAATTTAGACTGTGTAAATATAGGAGTAATATCACTGTGAAATTAGGAGTAAAAAAAGACTGAAAAATAAGGGTAATTGCGTATAATTAGGAGTAACATGCTGTATCATATAGGAAACTATAGACTGTATAATAAGGAGAATATAGAGTAAAATAAGGAAAAAAACTATAGACTGTTTCATATGGAGGAAATATAGACTGTATAAAATATGGGGTCATAGTGAAATTAGGAGTAACTATAACTCTAAAAATTTGGAATAAAAATATAACTGAAAAAAATTAGGAGTAAAAAGACTTTAAAATATAAGAGTAAATTATACTGAAAAAAATAGGGTAACTAAGACTGATCTATTGGGGGTAACTATAACTATAAAAAGGGAGTAACTTATAGCTGATTAAAAAGTATAAATAAATGTGAAATACGAGTAAAAATATACCTGGAAAAAAGGAGTAAAAATAGAGAAAAATTGGGAAAATAACTTAAATATAGGAGTAACTTTTACGGGTTCCTATAGGATAACTTAGACGTAAATTTTGGAGTAACTATGATGATACATTGGAGTAACTTAGACTGATACAATAGGGAACTATAGATGTATAAATATGGATAATGTAGGGCTGTATAAAAATAGAAAAACTATAGATGTATAAAATAAGAGTAACATAGCTGTATAAAAAAAGGAATAACCTTTGACTTTATAAAATAGGGTAATATGACTTAATTAAAGTAACTATGACTTATAATATAGGGAACTATGACTGAAAATAAGGAAAAATATAGACTGTATAAAAAGGAATAACTATAGCTTTGTAAAAAAAGGAATAAAAATATAGACTGATAAATATAGGGTAACTATAGCTTTACAAATTTGGAGTAACTATGATGTATAAAAAAGGGGTAAATTATAACTGTTTTTAATATAGTCGTAACATAGACTGTTGTAAAAAAAGGGTAATTAATGTATGGTAAATATAGGAGTAACTGAAAGACTGATAATAAATATCGGAGTAACCTATAGGACTGTTATAAAATATAGGAGAGTAACTATAGACTGTATACATATAGGAGTAACTATAGACTGTATAAATATAGGAGTAACTATAGACTGTAAATATAGGAGTAACTATAGACTGCGTAAATATAGGAATAACTATAGACTGAATAAATATAGGAGTAACTATAGACTGTATAAATATAAGAGTAACTATATACTGTATAAATATAGGAGTAACTATAGACTGTATACATATTGGAGTAACTATAGACTGTATAAATAAGGAGTAACTATATAGACTGTATTAATATAGTAGTAACTATAGACTGTGTAAATATACGAGTAACTATACACTGTGTAAATATAGGAGTAACTATAGACTGAATAAATATAGGAGTAACTATAGACTGTATAAATATAGGAGTAACTATAGACTGTATACATATAGGAGTAACTATAGACTGTAAATATAGGAGTAACTATAGACTGTATACATATAGGAGTAACTATAGACTGTATACATATAGGAGTAACTATAGACTGTATAAATATAGGAATAACTATAGACTGTATAAATATAGGAATAACTATAGACTGTATAAATATAGGAGTAACTATAGACTGTATAAATATAGGAGTAACTATAGACTGTATAAATATAGGAATAACTATAGACTGTATAAATATAGGAATAACTATAGACTGTATAAATATAAGAGTAACTATATAGACTGTATAAATATAGGAGTAACTATAGACTGTATAAATATAAGAGTAACTATTGACTGTATACATATTGGAGTAACTATAGACTGTATAAATAAGGAGTAACTATATAGACTGTATAATAAGATGTCAGGGTTTTCTGCATTATGGAGACATGCAAAATGCCATTATAGGAGAAGGTTTAAGCAGTGTTGTAATAGCTCAACCTTTTCATTCAAAGCCATATTACATAATATCCCAATATTACTTCTGGAGCCTGTGTATTGTCTCTTAATGTTTTGTACCATCCATGTCTCTCCATATCCACATCACTACTGCCCTCTGCTGGTGATGTTAGTGTACTGTCTGTGTTGATCTCTGAAGAGGTTTACAGACTAGTACAGTATGTGGCATGCTATCAGTGTGTGTATGTGTGTGTGTGTTATAATCCTGACTGGCTGGACATAGTGTATTATCCCTGTTGTAACATGGTCATCCCCAGGCTGATGATTGATAGAAGACTCCAGTGTGTGTGTCTACTGCCAGTGAAACGTGACAGAGGGAAGGGGGCTTGGCACATACCCACAGATTATTATGATGTTCCTTGCAGTGTTGTTGCATGTGTAGCAGATGTGGGCTAGTTAGCATACTAGTAGCCATCATGCAGTGACGTCACATGCCCTGAAACCTACAGTGTTGCACTCGCCCAACAAGGACCCATGGTCTTGGTAGGGAAATGATTAGCACGCTAACTTCCTCTTTCCTGCTCTACCTGTTCAGTAGTACAGATAGTTCTATTGCTCTGAGCTGATGTCAGTACAAATACCATTCAGCTTTATCCCCATGTACTGTAACTACTGTCCATACATCTGATATCTGCCAGTGACAGCACGGCATTTGTGATTAAATACAGAGTTACTATCTCTCTGTGTAGCAGCGAGAGAATATAGAGAGCGTATAGCGAGAGATGAAGAAGGAGCGCTCGCAGAGAGAGCGACTCTCTCGCGTCTCATCTATCTCTCTCTCTCTCTTCTCTCTAGCTCTCTCTCTCTCTCTCTCTCTCTCTCTCTCTCTCTCTCTCTCTCTCTGAATGGGTTCAGTCACTTTTAAAAACGCCTCACCTCTGAACACAGCCCCTTATTGGTGGGAGAAACATCCACATGACTCTCTGTAGGTACACCAGAGAGGGCAAAGGGAAATCTGTTTGGGCTGTTCAGATTATTAACAGATCCTCTTCTGTGTCACAGCTTATATCAGACCAGACCGGGACACAGTTTGTACCAGACAGGTACATGGAGGCTTTGTCTGTCACTGTCTGGTTCTCTTCTGCACGCGCAGCACATGATTCTGGACCTTTTGTCAGGTGTTCTATGAACGCAATTCTACCTGGAAAATCTCTACTTGTCTGTCTTCCAAATAATATTTATTTATCCATTGCCTCCTTCAAGAAACTGTTCTTCATCTCTTCCTTTGAGACACTCTTGTACACACAGCGTTGGACCTTAGAACTAGAGAGTAGGACTTCTGAAGAATTAAAACTTAGTTCCACTCTACAGAAAGACAAGGACCCTAAAGAGAAACTCCCGGAGACTCTACAATAGATAACTAAGTATCTGTGATCGGTAGCGATGATCCCTACTAAGCTCCTGATGTACCGGGGTCCACGCGGCGGTGCCCCTCGCTCCGAGGCCCGTGGAGACGCGTTCAGGAGAAAGAAGTCGTGTGGAGAGTTGTTTCAGAAAGGGTACAGGGTGAGGCTGGGGCCTCGTGGAGTGGCTATGGAGAAGGAGAGGCAGAAGGGACCATATCTTGCTCTCTGGACCTCTCTGAGCTTTCTCTGCAAATGGGGTAAGAATAGAGATCTAGGGCCATAGTTATTCTATGTGGGGTAAGAATGGTAAAATATGGGGTCTGGGTCATGTTCAAACAGTCTGTCTGGTCCAGTATATGCTTCCTCTCCAAATGGGGTGTGAATAGAGATCTATGGCCATAGTCCCCCTGTCTGGTCCTGTCTGTGATTCCTAGTTCTATAAACTATGTTTAAGCAATCTACATTGTCCTGTCTGCGCTTCTGCTTAAAATGGGGTCTGGGCCCTGCTCAAACAATCTATCTAGTTCATCTCCAGATGCGGTAAGGACAGGGTCTCTATGGAAACACTCGTTGTGGTTATGATTTTTATTCTTTACTCTGCTCCTGCAGTGTGGTTGCCTGGCTACCCAAACTCCTTGCTCCGGCCAAACGCTACGCCCTGCCCATGGACGTTAGTTTCTTCTCCGCAATGGATCTGGATCTGAGTACGTTTTAGACTGTCTGATTGGTCCCAGAAACCGATGGGTTGGGCCAGAGCCAGAACACACGTGGGTAAAACAACGTTTTTGAAAATTCGCCATTGGTTAGAGCTGATCCAATCGCTGATGACTTTGTTTTTTACAAGACCCCTAATTTTGACGTCACCACAAACGTCTTTGGTGATGTCAGTCAGGCTGAAGTATGTAGCGAACATAGAGCAGCGGAATCATTCAGTTTGAGTCGTCAGGCAAGCAGTGAGGTTCCAATGGCTTAGTTTGTTGGAAAATCGTGTTTGTAGCATCTGGGTTGTGGATTTAATTCCCGCATGGGCCGCGTATACTAAATATTTGTGGTAGCTGTAAGTTGCCTCACTAAGACTTGTGTTTACAGGATGTATCTGTCTACACCACAAATGAAATTTTGAACAGATCTAAAAATACAGAGAGATTAGACTTCACGTAATCTCGGAAACCCAAAACTAAAATCTTGCGTAATTGCGTCAGACGCTCGATTACATTCTGGGGGGAGATGTATAAAATAAATATACTAACCAGACTAGAGAAGTCTCCACCCCCTAAACAGACGTTTCAGTCAAGTGTGTGGGCCAAATCTCCCCTCCCCTTCTGAAATTCGAAAGATGCAAAATCGTGATTTGTCCATCTACACACCAGAACAAAGTTCCTTGTTAGTCGTCACATCCCACAGTCTGTATACAGATACTACGACACCATCCCATGTTACGTACGTATGTCCACGAAAGATTAAACTTCAAGGAAATGTTTCAAAATTAATCTGGTCAACATCGGCCTGCCCTTCCCTTACTGGTGTAAATTATTCCATATACACACACCAAACACACACACACACACACACACACACACACACACACACACACACACACCCACACACACACCAAACACACACACACACACACACACACACACACACACACACACACACACACACACACACACACACCCCCCACACACACACACCAAACACACACACACACACACACACACACACACACACACACACACACACACACGGTGGATCAGAGCATGGGTATATATTGGTGTTATGTAAACTGCCATTGAGGCAGGTGTTGCATTGTTTCTTTAATCCCTGGGTGAGCTCATTTTGAATTCCGACTGAGGCACATGTAGGACTGAGTATAAAAAAACATTAGGAACACCTTCCTAAAATTGAGTTGCACACAGTATAGCTACTGCACAGCAGGCAGTATGTACAGTGCATTCGGAAAGTATTCAGACCCCTTCCCTTTTTCCACTTTGTGACGTTACAGCCTTATTGTATATAAATAAAATAAAATAAATACCTAAGTATTTAGACCCTTTGCTATGAGACTCGAAATTGAGCTCTGGTGCATCCTGTTTCCATTGATCATCCTTGAGATGTTTCTACAACTTGATTGGAGTCCACCTGTGGTAAATACAATTGATTGGACATGATTTGGAAAGGCACACACCTGTCTATATAAGGTCCCACAGTTGACAGTGCATGTCATAGCAAAAACCAAGCAATGAGGTCAAAGGAATTGTCCGTAGAGTTCCGAGACAGGATTGTGTCGAGGCACAGATATGGGGGAAACCTGGCACCATCCCTACGGTGAAGCATGGTGGTGGCAGCATTATGCTGTGGGGATGTTTTTCAGTGGCAGGGACTGGGAGACTAGTCAGGACCGATGGAAAGATTAACGAAGCAAAGTACAAAGAGATCTTTGATGAAAATCTGCTCCAGAGCGCTCAGGACCTCAGACTGGGGTAAGGGGTTCACCTTCCAACAGGACAACAACCCTAAGCACATAGCCAAGACAACGCAGGAGTGGCTTCGGGACAAGTATCTGAATGTCCTTGAGTGGCCCAGCCCGGACTTGAACCCGATCAAACATCTCTGGAGAGACCTGAAAATAGCTGTGCAGCGATGCTCCCCATCCAACCTGACAGAGCTTGAAAGGTGCTTCAACAAAGTACTGAGTAAGGGTCTGAATACCTATGTAAATGTGATACTTCCGTTTTTTTTTTTTTTTTTTACATTTGCAAAACTTAAAAAAAAAAACTGTTTTTGTTTTGTCATTATGTGTAGATTGATGAGGGGAAAAAAATATTTTATCGATTTTAGAATAAGGCTGTAACATAAAATGTGGAAAATGTCAAGGGGTCTGAATACCTTCCGAATGCATTTGTATATATGAAGAATACAGTACTGTATGTATGATTAACGTACAGATGTAGGATCTTAATTTGAGCCAGAAAATAGTCCTGCAGCAACAGAAAAAGTGATTTATCATGTGGATTAAAATTAATGAACGTTTTTTGTAGGGGTTGATACATTTTTCGTTAGGGAAAATGAAGTCTGACATTTTAAAGTGGAAATTACAAAGGTACATTTTTAAACCTTGAATACACTATAAGTTTGCATTTCCTGTAGTGCAGGTAAATTCCGGGCAATGTTTGCTGCCCACACAAGTGATTTCTTACTAAATATTTTGGTGATATATCGACAATGTTTTGACTAACATGGACTTTCTCAGGTGTTCTTGTTCTGTCCAGTATTGTCATGTCATTTTTATGGTCAGCTCTTGTGTGATGTATGGTGTGCGTAAAACACTATCCTTTTATAGTATGTATGATTATTAACCTTTATTCATCTCTCTCTCTCTCTCTCTCTCTCTCTCTCTCTCTCTCTCAGGTTTAAGATTCCTGAGAGCCTTGAGATTGATACAGTTCTCAGAAATTTTACAGTTTTTGAATATCTTAAAAACAAGGTAAGTATTAGGGCTTTCATTGGTCTACCGCCACCAATCCAGCACCACACCAACTATCTACAGAATCCATCTGACATAGAAGCTCGGTTCAGGTTTGCTCTCTGTCTAGATGCTGTGGTAACACTTTATTTTACAGTCCTGTTGCAGACTTATTCTAAGATATTTGAACTTATGTGGTAACAACTTCAAAGCATGCAGGGAAAGGGGGATACCTAGTCAGTTGTACAACTGAATGCGTTCAACTGAAATGTGGCTTCTGCATTTGAGCACCAGATACAAATTTTACATGTACATTTTAGTCATTTAGCGGACGCTCTTATCCAGAGCGACTTGCAGTAGTGAGTGCATTTTGTACTTTTTCGTACTGGTCCCCTGTGGGAATCGAACCCACAACCCTGGCGTTGCAAGTGCCATGCGCTCCCAACTGAGCCACATGGGACACATTGTATAGCAGCTCCCGCAGTGCTTGTTCCAATGAATCTCACTCATATCTTGTGAAATTGTTATGTAATTATTTATTTGAACTTCCATTTTCCCATGTAGTGGCTGAGTAAATAGCAGGACTGTACAGTAAAGTGTCACTGAGGTTTTTTCTAGATGACTGTTTGGCCCAGCGTGCCTCTCCTCTCCTTTCTGGACTGTTGACACTGTAAACACAGAGTTGTTGAGTAATGTACAGTAATCCTCTCTTTCTGTGGTTTGGCACTAACGTAGGTGGGGGAGGGATAGATAGAGAGGGAGGGAGGGAGAGAGATAAATGGAAAGGGAGAGAGAGAGAAAGGGAAAGGGAGAGTGTATGATAAATGTAGACAGATCCTGAACTAAAGCATGACACTATTACAGCAGGGCAAGAACAGACACTGTGGTAGCTGTTGACTATATGTAGGAAACACAACACAAGATGATGGTTAGAGTGCTGGCAACAGCATTCCACAAAAGCTGTCATGACATAATGTACGTTCTTAGCAGTTCAATAGAGTAATCCCTTTCAGCTTAATTCATTTTATGTTTGTTTGGTTGCATTTTAGTTTTTGACCTGATCCCATCCCCTAGAGACCCACAGTCCCATTAATTTCCTGGCTTAGAGGAAGAGGACAGAATAGAATATTTAGTTTTTTCAAATAATTTATTATAATACATAAATACATTTTATTTTGCATCTTACTGGCATACCATGCCAGACACAAAGACAGAACTTGACGTAATGATAAAATAATGACAGAAGCACAGAGTACATGTACAGGACAGTACGGTACTTTACAACCTAAGCCAGGTGTTTTCTAGCCTCACCATCTCAGACCCAATAGATGAGCCTCTCCCATTACATTATTCTCTTTCTGTCACCTGGTCTGGATCTCTTTGAGAGATTTTTATGGTTCTTATTCTACCCAGCAATTCCATCAAGCTGGTGAACCTGTGTTCCATCTTCATAAGCACATGGCTAACAGCTGCCGGATTCATACATTTGGTAAGTGGCCGGGCGGGGGGGTTGTGCTACGGGGGAGTAAGGGAGGTGAGAACTCCTAACGCTTGGTCCGAAAACAACCTCTAGCCCCTCCCTTCCCCCTGGATGTGTGGCAGATCTGGAGTGCTGAAGGGTCCCAGACCAACCCCTACCCCCTACCCCCTGGGCACTCCTGTCGGTTCGAAACGATCGGATAGGTATGTAAGCAATACGGAACTAAATGTATACAGTTGTGGTCACTAAAAAGTTAGATATATTTTATTAAACCCTGCACTGCGCTACAGGTGTTTTTGTGACAAACTATTGCTGGGATACCCTACAGCACCGTGTTGCACACCCATTGTGGCAATAGTTCTGCCAGTACCAAAATACAACATTTTCAGTGCCCGCAACTGTATGAAAGTTCTCAGCCTATCTGAAGGCAAGGTGAAGCAGCAAATTACCATATTGCTTAAACCTATCCGATCCTCTCAGATCCACAGCAGGGCCTAGGGGGTAGGGGCGGGCTTGATTTGGGAATCAGCATGTTAGTTAAAAAGACTAGGTGGGTGCCGTCTTCGTATAGCCCCCACCTACCCGGTTCAGATGTGCTGCCACCCTAGGGGAGGGGGCTAGGGATTGCCTTCGGACCGGCCAATAGAGGGTGTTTCCATGTGATGATGAAGAGTTAGGGGCGCTTTAATCAATCAGTAGAACTACAGATCAATGTCTGTCCTTTTGAATCAGTAAAACTACAGATCATTTAATCAAATCTGACCTTTTTTCACTTTTTCTGTTATTTCTTACAAACAGCTGGCTCAAGTTGTCAGTACATTTATGTCAATGGCTCAACCAACAGTACAGTAACACACCAACCAATACAGCATTAGAACATGCAGGAGGATACTGCTAACCTCCTGACACTAGATGGCAGCATCAGATCAACCAGAAATCCTGCTTATCAGATTAGAATGAAAGCACATCAGTTCACCAGGGCCAGATTCAATCAAACTTGTGTTGAGAAGGTCGTATGCAGGGCCTTTGTTTGCAAACTGCTGCCCGAAGTGTCAGACCCATGTCGTGTTCAGTTCAGTTGTTCCGAACTGGAGGCACTAACCAGTGGAGGAGGTACTCGGTAGTGTTACAGCATCCTCAACCACGCAGGAAATGGATTAATCCGCGGGAAGACATGTTTGTTGGCTACTGTGTAAACTCTGCAATGCTGGTTTGATTGACTCTTAAGACCATGTTGGTGGTAGGATGAACCTATATAACCTGCATGCATAGAATTTATAGAACCTGCTTCAGAGGTTGTGATCAAAATCCGTCCAAAGTTTTTGCTTCTGACTGACATTCTACCCTGTTCAAATCTCCTTCCCGCTCCTGTTTCTAGGTGGAAAACTCAGGGGATCCTTGGGAAAACTTCCAAAATTCCCAGTCACTTTCCTATTGGGAATGTGTCTACTTGCTCATGGTCACTATGTCAACAGTGGGCTACGGGGATGTCTATGCAAAAACCACCCTGGGACGCCTGTTCATGGTCTTCTTCATCCTCGGGGGTTTGGTAAAACAAAGTTTTCTCTCCCCACCTCCCCCCTTGCCCCCCCCCCCCCCCCCCACCCTCAACCTGCCTGTCCCCATCTTCACACCATAGAACTGTTAAACCAGACAGCAAAATCAGTAAACGATACTTTAGACCTCAATGTCTTACTCAACATTATTACCTGTTTAGTATTTTGCAATGTAGCTTTATGCTAGTTTAGCAATGTTTACATAGCACTGTTAAGCTTACCTATTTAGATATGTACAGTATACCTACCTGCTTACACTACTATCAATGTTATTTGTCTGTTGGTGTTATTGCAGTGATGCCTCCTGTAGTAGCCTGTATCTGGGTACTGTAGTTTCTCCCCTTGCCCCCCTCCCTATAGCGTGTGGGTTGTATTGGTCTGAAGAGTAGTTCTAAGATAATGTACTACACCTGCAGTCTGATGATGTTGTTGTTGCCGTTCTTCTTAAAGCAGTCTGCGATTTCAGGACTACTCCCTTCCTCTCGTGTCCCTCCCCACTATTCCAACAAACACAGTGGCAGGAAGACCAGGCCTAGGCCAGCCTGAGTGTTACCATAGCGACTGCAGCTCTTTTTCCCCTCTGACATTTAACCCCAGTCAGACCAGCACCCCCTAGAAGAAAAGGGGCTCAGGTAGATGATCAAAGATTTGAATAGTTATACAGTTAGCAAACGGCTCAAAGGTTTGAATTGCTATACAGTTAGCAAACTTCTCAAAGGTTTGAATAGCTATACCGTTAGCAAACAGCTCAAAGATTTGAATAGCTATACAGTTAGCAAACTTCTCAAAGGTTTGAATAGCTATACAGTTAGCAAACTTCTCAAAGGTTTGAATAGCTATACAGTTAGCAAATAGCTCAACGGTTTGTGAATAGCCAAACTGTTAGAAAATAACCCAACAGGTAGTGGGTAGCTAAATGGCTAGCAAAGCGCTCTACAGCTAAACAGTCATCATAAAGAACTAAACAGTGCTAGCATAATATTGACATTGACATAGGCAGGAAAAGATCATTACTGTACCTCAGGACAGGACAGCAGGCTGCAACAGTTTGCCAAATGCATCCAGCTCATTCCCACTGCCCTCCAAATGAGTCTTAATGTGTTTTGCAGCTGTGGACCATCAGGCCGGCCTGCTCAAATCAACCTGCCACATCATTGGTGTTTGTTGGACAAAACATGGCACATAGGTTTTTTTCCCCCTCTTCTCTTTGCCACTTCCAGATATTTTGGACACTATTACAGATCGACCGTTGTTGGTCGGCTGTGACGATATTTATGGTTTTTTTTTTTTCTTCCCAAAACCAATGACCCTTAAAAACTGGGGTTTTCTTAATACAAATATTTTGTTTTGATTTTACCCCCGAAATTATTTAAAAAAAACATTGATTGGGCAACGCAGCGCTATCTCTTAGTTTGTTCTCTTCTTTAAAGTGTCAGTGAGAACTACAAGAGAAACTTCTGGACACTAACATCCCCCCAGTTTTTCAGCATTTGCACATTTATTTGATATCTTAAGAACTCTGTTTGGATTTAAGCGCCCGCTAGCCGGCTCCCCCTCCACTTCCTCTATGACCTAGTGTCTTCTTTAGTCTCTTCTTCTGTCTCCTATCTTCTCCTTAGGCCATGTTTGCCAGCTACGTCCCTGAAATCATAGAGTTAATAGGAAACCGCAAGAAATATGGTGGTTCCTATAGTGCGGTTAATGGGAGAAAGTAAGTATTTTCCGTAAGGTTCTGCTGTCTTTCCTTGTACGCGGTAGAACCCTTTCTGCATGCCCTTTTCTTTCTCTGTTCCATGCATGTAGGCCATGTTTGCTCGCTACGTGCCAGAAATTGCTGCTCTCATCCTTAATCGGAAGAAATACGGAGGGAGTTATAACTCAACACGAGGCAGAAAGTAAGTCCAAATCCAGACAAGGTGTGTTTGTGTGACACGAGTGCGCCCCCCTCAGGTTTAGAGTGGTATGGGGGGTTGATTCACCAAATTACCATTACTGTAGTCACACTGCGTGACTGGAGACCTTGGCCATAAGGACACATGTCCATGTCACTTTACTCTCTCTCTCTCTCTCTCTCTCTCTCTCTCTCTCTCTCTCTCTCTCTCTCTCTCTCTCTCTCTCTCTCTCTCTCTCTCTCTCTCTCTCTCTCCTGTCTCTCTCTCTCTCCCTGTCTCTCTCTCTCTCCCTATCTCTCTCTCTCTCCCTATCTCTCCCTCTCTCCCTATCTCTCTCTCTCTCCCTGTCTCTCTCTCTCTCCCGGTCTCTCTCTCTCTCTCCCTGTCTCTCTCTCTCCCTGTCTCTCTCTCCCTGTCTCTCTCTCTCCCTGTGTCACTCTCTCCCTGTCTCTCTCTCTCCCTGTCTCACTCTCTCCCCCCTGTCTCACTCTCTCCCCCTGTCTCACTCTCTCCCTGTCTCTCACTCCCTGTCTCTCTCTCTTCCTGTCTCTCTCTCTCCGTCTCACTCTCTCACTGTCTGTCTTCTCTAATCTCTCTCTCTCTCTCTGTCTCTGTCTGTCCCTCACTCAGTGCTCACTTGAAGTCCATCCTTGTGCTTTTGTTTTTATTTGTTACTTTGAAACATCCTATGTGCTGCATCTTAATTCATTTAAACTAGAGCTTTCATGACTACATTGTAGACATATGGTATTAATATGTGATGACTTAGAATATGTGTTGTCCTACTTCTTAATTCCGAAACCGTCCAATGACATTCCTCCAATTGTGCTCTCACTATAAGGACGAATCAGGATCATGATGATACATCATTGTAAAGAACTAGTCATGAAACCCCTACTATCTGCTGTAAAAATGTACACGTTTCTGCTTCACAAGAATATAGAAAACAATATCATCCTCATATGCATTATTATTGGTGGTCTTTTAGAAGCATCATCAATCTCAATGACATTGCAGGATATTATTTTCTTGCTTTCATTTTGCTTGAGTTACTCCGCATGAGACATGCTTTTTATTTGTATTCATTTGCATAATTTATCTGCATGTTCTAAGTGACCTGAGCTCCCCTCCGTTGGCTTTTTCACGTTTCATGGTTCCCATGGCAAACTGTACAAAAAGCTCAACTTCTTGTCTTGTCACCGCCAGCCGCATCACCTCTGCTCGACATGACTCTGGCCCTGATCTTCAGTCAGCTCCTACACCCTGAATGCTGGATGCCTCGCTCTCATTAGAGGCTCGCGATTGCTCTTGGCTTGCTTTGCCCGCTTGGTTCTTTGGTGTCCCGTCGTTTGGTTTGTGTGGCCGTAGTTGTGTGGGTTGGGGTGTTTTTGTGTGCGGGTGTGTGTGTGTGGATGTCCAGAACACAGTTTGTTGTGTTGTGTGTGTATTGTGGCTGAATCCCTTGTTCTGTGGCTCAAACCTCACTGCTCATCACAGCACATAGACTAACTAGCCTCATAGTTAGACACAGACTAACTAGCCTCATAGTTAGACACAGACTAACCTCACTGCTCCTCATAGTGTAGCTCAGCAGGATAGAGAAACTTCCTGCATCTCTTTCTCTCTTTCTCTCTGTCTTTCTTTTTCTTCTTCTTTCTCTTTCTTTCTTTCTTTCTCTCTCTCTCTCTCTCTCTCTCTCTCTCTCTCTTTCTTTATCTGTCTCTCTCTCTCTCTCTCTCTGTCTCTGTCTCTCTCTCTCTCTCGCTCTCTCTCTCTCTCTCTCCTTCTCTCCCTCTCTCTCTCTCACCCACCCCCTTCCTCTCCCTCTCTGCATGGTCACGCAGGGCTGTCAGTGGCCCATACATACTGACATTCCACAGTAGAGAGAAAGCTATTAGAAACCAGTCTTTGTTTGAAGCTGTTTCCACGTCAGTGAGACACGATTGATGATATGTTATGTTTGTCTGGCGCCCTGCGTCTCCATTCACTGACGGGGTAATGAGCGAAGGATTTGTCAAAACTGCAGACTCCCTCTCTTTCACACACTCTCCCCCTTTCACACACTCTCCCACTTTCCCTATTTACCTCTCTCTCTCTCTCTCTCTCTGTGTCTCTCTCTCTCTCTCTCCCCCTGTCTCACTCTCTCCCTGTCTCTCTCGCTCCCTGTCTCACTCTATCCCTGTCTCTCTCTTTTTCCTCTCTCCTTCTCTATTTTTCTCTCTATCTCTCTTTCTCCCCCTCCTCTTCTCCTTCTCTCTGGCTTGAATGTACATGCATACATGTGGTAGTAATCAGGCCCTCAGTTCAGCCAGCCAATCACAGAGGCAACAGGATATGTTAAATACTGTGTTCATATTGTGTATGTACACTATAGATCATGACACATATACAAACACATTTGTCATAATGGTTTATTATTTCCTCTCTAGAGTACACTTTTTGGGCAAGGCAAAAGCTAAACAAGTTCACTGAACTGTGGGTTAGGAATAAATCCAACTTCCAGTTAATATACTACATATTTAAATGATTTATTTTCAGACAGAGTACAGTATCATGACATGCAAGCAAACACACACACACACACACCAGTTAGCATAGTGACAGGTCTCAGGTCGCCTACGCTGATGTCATTAAGACGAGCGTTCTGTTGGCTCTCAACTCGCTGCACTCATGGCCTTATGGTTCTCATTAGGGCTCTGTGATTTTCATAACAGCTCTGTGGTTTCCATTAGGCCCCACTAAAACAGAGGGGCTGGCGTGGAATCTGAATGTGTTAGTTCTCTGAGGGCCTGTGAAGGCTAGCAGCCTGAGGTGTGGAGACCTGGTGACTCTCATCCCTGTCACATATATTATATAGTATGTTCAGCACGCTCCCTCTAGTGTGCATTAGGGAATTTAATGCACATTTATTAACATAAATAAATAGCCCAATTATTGTGACACGGAACATGTAGTTATCTACATGAATAACATTACAGTATACAGTATATAAGATATCCAGTATTCAGGTTAGATAGCATCAAAATATATCTTCCTTGTTTCTGTGGCTAATGGTATTTTTTATGCTACACCATGTTCCATTAGTTACAGTGATATAGGCCACTGTCGAGTGGAAAACACAAGAAATCTGGTGTTTTGTTGCCTTTCCTTCTGCATCCTACAGTATCAGCCTAAGGATCAGAGCGAAATCAATGGTGTGACCTCTGCTGCTGGTGTTTGAGCTGTCTGTTTGATGTGGTGAAGTATTTAATGTGTTCCTGATGATATGATTTGTTATATTGTTGATATCCTGCATGGTGTGTAATGCACGTTCTCAGACTTCCCTTGTGCATTTTGGTGTGATGCTGTGTACCTTTTATTGTGGCGCTTGGTATTTGTGTGTAATATTTTCTCATATGTTCTGTGCCACCGTGATTGTACACCCAACTTTTGTTTTTTGAGTGTGATGTTTCATTGAGGAGTCCAGGGTTGAATATGCTTAAAATAAGTTATATTTTTTTCCAGCAGGCAGCCTAGCGGTTAGAGCGTTGGGCCAGTAACCGAAAGGTTACCGTCAAGGTGGAAATCTGTCTGTGTCCTTGAGCAAGGCACTTAACCCTAATTTGCTCCAGGGGCACTGCACTTCTATTGCTGACCCTGTAAAACAACACATTTCACTGCACCTATCTGGCGTATGACAATAATAAAAAAAAAACATATAATTGTTGAATCATGTATCCTTACTACTCCTTTAAATATGTAGCCAAATACCTTCCTTGGCTTGGATACCGTGCTGTTGTCTCTAATGCTAGCCCTGGCACACCAATAGGGGAAATCATCAGTAGTCTGTCCGTCCTTTAATGAAGTCAACTGAATCGTTTATACTCCCAACAATTGTTCCGCTAAAAAAAAATCTGTCAAGCTCCACTGATAACTAATATATTCATGGAGAAGAGATGTCTGAGATGAGATGTGTGTGTGTGTGTGTGTGTGTGTGTGTGTGTGTGTGTGTGTGTGTGTGTGTGTGTGTGTGTGTGCGACCACGCCTGTATGTGTGCATGCTCTCTTAACGCAGCGCCACAAAACAGCCAGACACTACGCTGCACAAATCCCATTTACTCAGCCTCTGAAGATGACTTCTGGAGATTGGGAGTAGGAAAACAAGATGTTTATGTCTCCCTGAATGGGACACATCATCTTCTGCCAACTGCTGCAGGCTCCTCACTAAGACCTCTGCTCATCATCTGATCTAACCAGACAGAGCTCGCAGCCTCATTCCATCACGGGATAGCCAGGCCAGGGCCCACCATGCAATCATCACTGCTCTTTTAAATGCTTAAAGGGATGATGGCCAGATCTGTAAAGATCATTATGTTATGCTCAATGGCTACCAGGCCGTGTGTTGTCACCATGTTATGTCCACCAGGTGATGTCTACTCCCTGACCTCTGGCCATGTCCACCTCAGTCTGCTTTAAACCTCCTTAATGTGCTTCAGTGGCACTTGGTCACAATGATCTGGACTGGACTTCATCACCAACTGATACAGACTTCCTTACCATTCATATTCACACCACCTGAGAATTCACTCACTCTCTGTTACAGTTGAGTCCTCCATATACAACAGGAGTTAATGTATGATCTAATGGTCTCATCTTCTCCCAGTATGAGAACATGGGCTTGGATCAGAGTGTGGTGGGTTAGAACCAGGAGTTGGAACTGGTTGGAACAGAACAGAAAACTGAAAAATTTATTGAGGAACAGAATCAGAACCAAGAACAAAAGTGATCTATACTGTTCCGGAACAGAACTGTTATTTAAAAATGAATGGGAACCGGTTAATAATGTTATTTTACGTTCCAGGGCATTATTTTCTAGTCCGACAAAAAAACGCAACAAAGTGCCTATGCAAAGCCCTCACTCCGTCACTCAGAAACGTATTCCAGTGTCTGCCTACCTGCCAGCTGACAATCTTTGGTGTGTGTGCGTGTGTAGGCCCCTCCCCCTCCGAAGCATAGTTTACTAGCCTACTGACATTACAAGCGTGATTCAGAAATTAGGGAGAGATTTTTAATTAGAGAAAAATTGGTTATCTTTTTCAATGCTAGTTAAGGATATTATAGTTATCACGTTTCACATTGGATTTATGAACTACAAAAAGGTAAGACGTGTTTTTATTTTAATTCTGGTGCTGCTCTGCACACACAAGCTTGTTAGCTAGCTAGCTCTGTTCCAACATTAAGCCAACTCTCGGAAGTTCAAAGACATTCAAAGTTCCTTCAAAGAAGCCGCTCCTCCGTAGGTATAATTCTGTGGGCCTAATTCAGATAATGCTCTTCAAGCCAAGCGTCCTCCTCCAACCTCTCTCGCTCTCTCCCCACCCACAAAATTTCAGTCCCATCTCGCGCCCTACACTTGCCTGTTCAATGCATGTAAACAACTATAGCTTGCCCGCTCCAGCAAGCTGCACTCTCCCGATGATTGGTGAAGTAATTTAATGTCGAGTTAAATGTAAAAAAAAAAAAAAAAAGATTTCAGATGTTAAAAAGGAACAGAAAGGAACAATATAAACCATTACTGTTTTGAGGTTCGAACTGGTTCAGAACTTTATTTTGCTGTTCGAAACAGTGGAACTGAACCAAAAAAATAAATGGTTCTGTTCAGAACGAATTATTTTGGTTCCAATCCCTGGTTAGAACAGATTGAGTCTGATGAGTTAAGTCTTGTAAAGTGAACAGACCAAACTAAAGCTCTTCAGTGAGTCAGTAACCCAATACACAGACAGTCTAACTGCCCCACATCTCTTTAGTTAGCAGATAGAGCCATAGCCATTACACAGATTGTCTTACATACACCGTCTCTGTGTCCAATGTAATCCCCTGGATGATTAGAGGCTGGAGTCAACGAGAGTATGTTTGGGATTCTCTTTATTTGCGGTTTGGCTTTGAATGCTGGCTTGATAACATTGAGTTAGTTTTGCCAAGTACAAATGAGACCGTTGGTAAAGATGAATGGTTAAAACTGTATTTAATCCTGTGGATTAGTTGAATTATGTAGTGTTTCAACCTACTACTTTAGCTGGGTCGTTCCACGAAATAAGTGCCTTTTTGTCCCTTTGGTATTTTAAGTTTAAATTGTGCACCAATATAGAATTTTAAAAGCCTGTTCTATTCAATGAAGTGCCCTTTAATATAGACCACGTGGAGAATTCAATACATCAGATTTGTAATATGAATAAAGACTGGCTAAAGAGCCAAAATTCAGCATTTTTACATGTCCCTCTGTGCATCCTCTGTGACTTCCAGGAAGATGTTAGCCCACTTCACCCCAACATTTCTCAAAGTTTTCACCATCATTGTAAAGCCCTAGTTATTTTGTTGATTTGACCAAGTCATTTCTGAAAATCATAATTGATTTAATGTGATTTAATGTTAAGGTAAAAAATAACTGTCCCTCAAGGTCAACCCTGTTATGTGAACTGAACTCTCGTTTTAATATAGTGAAACTATTCATTTTTAAATATATATTTGTAACGAAACATTGAACATCTAATAGTCAAATCATAGTGTAAAAACAGTTGAGTTGGTTCTACTCTTTTTGGCCATTTTCTGGTGTTTTGTGGTGGAAAACTGAGCAGGACGAGCATAACACGACAGCCCTGTTACCTGTTGTTAGATAGACAGGCTAGACATGCATTCAATTGCCCCTCCCTGTTTCACTCAACAAGCTTCCATTCCCCCTTTATGGCTGATTTAAGATGAAATCATCAACCCTGTTACGGTCAACCCTGTTACTTTATTTGGCACTTAACAGGTACTTACTATAGTCATTTTCTATTACCTTTTGAGATGGAAAACATGTTTTTTTATTAAGTTGAACATGTGCTCTTAATGACAGAATGTAAACATTTGGTGAAATCAAAAGTTTTAATTCACCAAGTTACACATCTCAAAAGACACCGAATTGGTGGAACGACCCCGCTATGAAGGCTTTGGGAAACCCATGGGTAGCTTGCGACTATCTCTGCTTTGAGCTAGACAACAGAAGTAAAGGCATATTTTGAGTCACCTGAACAGGCTTGATATGGTACAGAGAATAGGAGCAGCATCTCTGTCCAAACTGACTCAAATCTACTCAAGTATGAGTGAAGCTCTTTGAGTATTACTGTGAAACCCTCTCTATCTGAGATCCTCTCTCTCTGGAGTGGATCATCACCGTCTGACACTGGAGCCCAGAGTGGAACCATGGGACAAACAAGGTCACGACCCCAGCAATCCCCAATTTGTCCGAATCTATCCTCCTCCTGAATTCAGCAGTGCTCTCTGTCTGACATAGAACTCAACTCCACTGAAACACAGTATCCTGCCATCCACACGTCAACCAGCCTCAAGTCCTGTTTAGAGGTCCTGTCAGCCGCAGACCAAGACATTTCTTTAGAAGGCTTTTAGTAATGCCTTGTATGAAAGCGTGCGCGTATTGATGTACATGTCTTTGTCAACATATATTTGGCTCTCAGAGGGTCGGTTTGGCACAAGGGGACGGTTTCCTTATTGAGAACTGATGACAATCTAAACTAGAACATGTACTGTGTGATTTATATTTGAGGTCACTTTAAAGTGGTTCAAAGCTCAGGGTTTGATTACACATGCCATGTCAGATTTACCCCCCTACAAAAAACAAACTACAGTATTCACTTTTGTGGGGATTGCTTTTACTGAAAAGAAACCCACATAAAAAGTCATGGCTAGTTTTCAAAATACATTTGCCTGACACAAAATAGATTTAATTGGGAATTAGAGTTGTGAGTGCTTTGAATGATGTGTGTTCTTTTCGAGGTATGCCAGTGTTGGTTGGGATTTATGTTGCCTCGCTCAAATTGATTTCTCCCCCCCTTCTCCAGGCACATTGTGGTTTGTGGTCATATTACGCTCGAAAGTGTCTCCAACTTCCTCAAAGACTTCCTACACAAGGACAGGGATGATGTCAATGTAGAAATAGTTTTTCTCCATAAGTAAGTACATGTTTCACTACCTCACTTGGAACCATTACACAGGGTAGTTAAACACTAAATTATGTCAACATAAAGCATAGGAAACTACAAATCCCAACTTGCATTTGTGTCCTAACTGTCATCCCCTGTCCCCCCCTCTCTGTCTCTCTCTCTCTCTCTCTCTCTTTTTCTTCTCTACCCCCTCCCTCCCTCCCTCCCTCCCTCCTCCCTCCCTCCCTCTCTGTGTTCCTGTAGTATTTCCCCTAATCTTGAGCTGGAAGCCTTGTTCAAACGCCACTTTACCCAGGTAGAGTTCTACCAGGGATCTGTTCTCAACCCTCACGATCTGGCCAGAGTGAAGGTACTGTACTAGCATGTAATGCTGTTATGCATCATATTCCTCTATACTGTAGTTACATGGTGAAATGCTGTGCATGAAAAACACAACAAGAAAAAAGGCCAATACTCCTCATACCACCTTGTAAGAGTGACAACGTTTCGATCCAAGTTGGATCTTTGCTTTGACCTGAGGAAGATCAATCTGGGGTTGAAATGTTGTGATATTTGACCTGAGGAAGATCAATCTGGGGTTGAAACGTTGTAATATTTGACCTAAGGAAGATCAATCTGGGGTTGAAACGTTGTGATATTTGACCTGAGGAAGATCAATCTGGGGTTGAAATGTTGTGATATTTGACCTGAGGAAGATCAATCTGGGGTTGAAATGTTGTGATATTTGAAGGTGAGGAAGATCAATCTAGAGTTGAAACGTTTTGATATTTGACCTGAGGAAAATCAATCTGGGGTTGAAACGTTGTTATATTTGACCTGAGGAAGATCAATCTGGGGTTGAAATGTTGTGATATTTGACCTGAGGAAAATCAATCTGGGGTTGAAATGTTGTGATATTTGACCTGAGGAATATCAATCTGGAGTTGAAATATTGTAATATTTTAAGGTGAGGAAGATCAATCTGGAGTTGAAATGTTGTAATATTTGACCTGAGGAAAATCAATCTGGGGTTGAAATGTTGTGATATTTGACCTGAGGAAGATCAATCTGGGGTTGAAATGTTGTAATATTTGACCTGAGGAAGATCAATCTGGGGTTGAAATGTTGTGATATTTGACCTGAGGAAGATCAATCTGGGGTTGAAATGTTGTGATATTTGACCTGAGGAAGATCAATCTGGGGTTGAAACGTTGTAATATTTGACCTGAGGAAGATCAATCTGGGGTTGAAACGTTGTGATATTTGACCTGAGGAAGAACAATCTGGGGTTGAAACGTTGTAATATTTGACCTGAGGAAGAACAATCTAGAGTTGAAACGTTGTGATATTTGACCTGAGGAAGATTAATCTGGGGTTGAAACGTTGTAATATTTGAAGGTGAGGAAGATCAATCTGGGGTTGAAATGTTGTAATATTTGACCTGAGGAAAATCAATATGGGGTTGAAACGTTGTAATATTTAAAGGTGAGGAAAATCAATCTGGGGTTGAAACGTTGTGATATTTGACCTGAGGAAGATCAATCTTGGGTTGAAACGTTGTGATATTTGAAGGTGAGGAAGATCAATCTGGGGTTGAAACGTTGTAATATTTGATGGTGAGAGGGTTTCTGCTGTGTATTCTCTACCTCTGTAACTCGTCATGGTTCCCTGTATAGATTGAGTCAGCAGACGCCTGTCTGATTCTGGCTAATAAGTACTGTCCAGATCCCGATGCTGAAGACGCCTCCAACATCATGAGGTAATGATGATGATGATGATGATGATGATACATATCTGGAGAAAGGACTGGGTATACAGTATGTGTTCAAAAATATATGTTTTGAATTTGTAGGGTCATCTCTATCAAGAACTATTCCCCCAAGATACGAATTATCACTCAGATGTTACAATACCATAACAAGGTGGGTCAGCACATCACTCCTACGCTTCCTGCAATGTGGCACTTAATGATAACTATGGTTCAAACACGTGTGTGTGTGTGTGTGTGTGTGTGTGTGTGTGTGTGTGTGTGTGTGTGTGTGTGTGTGTGTGTGTGTGTGTGTGTGTGTGTGTGTGTGTGTGTGTAGGCTCACCTGCTCAACATTCCTAGCTGGAACTGGAAGGAGGGTGATGATGCTATCTGTCTAGCAGAGCTGAAGGCTGGCTTCATAGCGCAGAGCTGTCTGGCCCAGGGCCTCTCCACCATGCTGGCCAACCTCTTCTCTATGAGGTCCTTCATCGAGGTAACATTGACACAACATTAACACAACCTTTTCAGAATGATCTCTTTCACAGAGATCACTTTAACACATCCTTTCAATAACACTGTTCTCTTTCATTGAGGTAATAATAATAATAATAATATGCCATTTAGCAGACGCTTTTATCCAAAGCGACTTACAGTCATGCGTGCATACATGTTTATGTAGTCCCGGGGATCGAACCCACTACCCTGGCGTTACAAGCGCCATGCTCTACCAATTGAGCTACTGTTGCTACTGTAATGTTGACACAATGTCAGTAGGGTAACCAACATTACCACAACCTTTTCACAATGTTTTCTTTCATTGAGGAAACATTGACACAATCTCTTCTCAATACAACATTCATCAAGGAAACATTCCTTCAGCAGCACTATTAGCCAGGTTACTATCCCATTACTTATTATGGGATAGATATGTGGTTCCATGGGAGTCCTGAGCTCTGGTCTGCTGAGTGAGACATCTCTGAGGGAGTGTTTTCATTCAGAATCACAACTGTCTTTCAGTCAGTCTGGGTTATCCTTTTTATCTGTAGGGATCTTGGCACTCAGCTTTGAAAGAGCTGGTCTTCATGTCGTAAAGCTGATGGAGGAGTTTATAATGGGCGGGCTTATGAGGTCTGGATGGAGAAGAGACATCTGATGGCCATATTCCCATCCTGAAAATATAGAGTAAGACATAGAAAATAGATGGACCATTGACGCCAAACCATAACAGGTGATCTAAGCTGTGAATGAAAAGGCATTGCCCTCGTTATAGAGGGAATTAAAAGATGAGATAGGCTCTCATCATCTATGACAGCTGCAAAGCTTTCAGGAAACTCATCCATCATCGTCCATGGCAGCTCAGTGGATATAATGTAGCCTGTCTACCCTCTAGAACATCAGAAAAATAAGGGAGGAATCACTGCTCATGAGAAGAAGGAACTAAGACCTACAGTATTAGTTGTGAAGCGATACAGCCCTTGTCAGTCAGAACTAATGCTAGGCCAAGCCTGGTGAAGCAGCTTGGACCTGATATACTGGGACCAAGTCAGCAGGCCCTTCCTTTCACTGTTGGTCGTTTTTCAACAAAAACAGTCAACCAAAACGTTAAACTCAAATCATACTGTTGTTTTATAGCAGGATAAAAACATGGAATATATTATAAAAATCTTTGGCAACTGAAAGTCAATGTCAAAATGAATGACCGAAGATCATGAAATGATTATGAAACTATAATAAATTATATTAGGATCCATTTTGAATGGAGTAATTAAAATAGTTATGTGATAGAGGTGGCCTCTTCTGATTCTGTCAGCATGTCCTAGAGAGATCTCCATAAACATATGAATATAGAGACAGAATGCCATAAACAGAATGCCATAAACAGAATGCCATAAACAGAATGCTATAAACAAAATGCTATAAACAAAATGCTATAAACAGAATGCTGTTAACAGAATGCCATAAACAGAATGCTGTAAACAGAATGCTATAAACAAAATATTATAAACAGAATGCTGTAAACAGAATGCTATAAACAAAATGTTATAAACAGAATGCTATAACCAGAATGCTATTAACAGAATGTTATAAACAGAATGCTATAAACAGAATGCTTATAGTGCATGTTGGGTTGCACTTGAAGACAGATTATTGTGAGGCCTCTTAACGAGGTGAAGAGTGATGTGTCTGACAGCCGTTTTTCAGCACAGCTCTTACTAGGTCATTAAAGAGGATGCGTTCCAAATTGCACCCTATTCCCTATTTAGTGCACTACTTTTGACCAGGGTCCATAGCGTTAATGGGAATAAGGTGCACTCATGGAGAAATATCAGAAATAACAGTTCTGGGACATTCTGATGCAGATGTCTGTAATGAGCATGTGTGAGAATGGGAGAGGAGGGATCTGGATGAAGTTCATCATCAGGCCATGTTTTTTTACCAAGGCGATAATAGGCCATCGTCATGGCAGTTTGTCGTCACGCAGGACCAAATGAAAGGACACCCTCGATTAGTGTTCCCCCAAAGATGCCTGACCAATTGCAATTGCTTTTACCCCAGACAGGCGAGATGCGTGAGTGTGTTAGTTATGGAGGAAGTGTGTTCTGAGCCCCATATTAAAGCCGCTATAGCTGTCAGGAGGGGTGGAGTTATGATAGAGAGATGGGGAATGTTTCATAATGGGTCAGGATCTGAGTGTCTGCAGTTCATCAAAGTGTCTCCTCCATCGCTGTGAGACTTCTAATGAGGATGGGACTGGGAGGAAACCCAGAGGAGCTTATAAAGTGCTTAAGAAGGGTTTATAAAGGGCTAAGGTACAATGCACATTTTGCATCTGTATATGTATTTATATATGTATTTATTCATATCTATTTTCTACTTGTTGCTTCTCAGATTGAAGAGGACACATGGCAGAAGTACTATTTAGAAGGGGTAGCTAATGAGATGTACACAGAGTATCTGTCCAGTGCCTTTGTGGGGCTCTCCTTCCCAGCAGTCTGCGAGTAAGTATGACACACCACAGTCCTCTGCCCGGTACAGTACGGGTGTCTCTCTCTGCTACATGTTGCTGTTCTCTTTTACTGCTACTGCTCTGTCCCTTGTAATGCTACAACTACTGAATATTAGATGGTACCAACATTAATAGTACATTAATATATTAAATAAAAATAAAAGGGACATTTTAATTTGAAAGTATTGGTGATGTTGAAATAGTAGCTACAGTGCATTCTGAAAATATTCAGACCCCTTGACTTTTTCCACATTGTGTTACGTTAAAGCCTTATTCTAAAATGTCCTCATCAATCTACACACAATACCTCATAATGACAAAGCGAAAACAGCGTTTTAGAAATGTTAGCACATTTATTCAAAATACAAAAAAGAAATACCTTATTTACATAAGTATTCAGACCCTTTGCTATGAGACTCGAAATTGAGCTCAAGTTCATCCTGTTTCCATTGATCATCCTTGAGATGTTTCTACAACTTGATTGGAGTCCACCTGTGGTAAATTAAATTGATTGGACATGATTTGGAAAGGCACACACCTGTCTATATAAGGTCCCACAGTTGACAATGCATGTCAGAGCAAGAACACAGTGGCCTCCATCATTCTTAAATGGAAGAAGTTTGGAACCACCAAGACTCTTCTTGGAGCTGGCCGCCCGGCAAAACTGAGCAATCGGGGGAGAAGGGCCTTGGTCAGGGAGGTGACCAAGAACCCGATGGTCACTCTGACAGAGCTCAAGAGTTCCTCTGTGGAGATGGGAGAAACTTCCAGAAGGACAACTATCTCTGCAGCACTCCAACAATCAGGCCTTTATGGTAGAGTGGCCAGATGGAAGCCACTCCTCAGTAAAAGGCACATGACAGCCCGCTTGGAGTTTGCCAAAAGGCACCTAAAGACTCTCAGACCATGAGAAACAAGATTCTCTGGTCTGATGAAACCAAGATTGAACTCTTTGGCCTGAATGCCAAGCGTCACATCTGGAGGAAACCTGGCACCATCCCTACGGTGTAGCATGCTGGTGGCATTCCATGGTTTTTCTTTATTTGTACTATTTTCTACATTGTAGGATAATAGTGAAGACATCAAAACTATGAAATAACACATATATCGAATCATGTAGTAACCAAAAAAGGGTTAAACAAATCAAAATATATTTTATTCTTCAAAGTAGCCACCCTTTGCCTTGAGGACAGCTTTGCACACTCTTGGCATTCTCTCAACCAGCTTCATGAGGTAGTCACCTGGAATGCATTTCAATTAACAGGTGTACCTTGTTCATTTGTGGAATTGATTTAATTATTTATGCGTTTGAGCCAATCAGTTGTGTTGTGACAAGGTAGGGGTGGTATACAGAAGATAGCCCTATTTGGTATAAGACCAAGTCCATATTATGGCAAGAATAGCTCAAATAAGCAAAGAGAAATGACAGTCCATCATTACTTTAAGACATGAAGGTCAGTCAATCCGGAAAATGTTCAAGAACTTTGAAAGTTTCCTCAAGTGCAGTCGCAAAAACCATCAAGCGCTATGATGAAACTGGCTCTCATGAGGACCGCCACAGGAAGGTAAGACCCAGAGTTGCCTCTGCTGCAGAGGATAAATTAATTAGCGTTAACTGCACCTCAGATTACAGCCCAAATAAATGCTTCACAGAGTTCAAGTAACAGACACATCTCAACATCAACTGTTCAGAGGAGACTGCGTGAATCAGGCCTTCATGGTCGAATTGCTGCAAAGAAACCATTACTAAAGGACACCAATAATAATAAGAGAATTGCTTGGGCCAAGAAACATGAGCAATGGACATTAGACCGGTGGAAATCTGTCCTTTGGTCTGATGAGTCCTAATTTGTCTTTATGAGATGCAGAGTAGGTGAACGGATGATCTCTGCATGTGTAGTTCCCACCGTAAAGCATGGAGGAGGAGGTGTGATGGTGTGGGGGTGCTTTGCTGGTGACACTGTCTGTGATTTATTTAGAATTCAAGACACACTTAACCAGCATGGCTACCACAGCATTCTGCAGCGATATGCCATCCCATCTGGTTTGCGCTTAGTGGGACTATTATTTGTTTTTCAACAGGACAATGACCCAAAACACACCTCCAGGCTGTGTAAGGGCTATTTGACCAATAAGGAGAGTGATGGAGTGCTGCATCAGATGACCTGGCCTCCACATTCACCTGACCTCAACCCAATTGAGATGGTTTGGGATGAGTTGGACCACAGGGTAAAGCAAAAAACCGCCAACAAATGCTCAGCATATGTGGGAACTCCTTCAAGACTGTTGGAAAAGCATTCCTCATGAAACTGGTTAAGAGAATGCCAAGAGTGTGCAAAGCTGTCATCAAGGCAAAGTGTGGCTCAAGGCAAAGGGTGGCTACTTTGAAGAATCTAAAATCTAAAATATATTTTTATTTGTTTAACACTTTTTTGGTTACTACATGATTCCATATGTGTTATTTCATAGTTTTGATGTCTTCACTATTATTCTACAATGTAGAAAATAGTAAAAATAAAGAAAAACTCTTGAATGAGTAGGTGTGTCCAAACATTTGACTGGTACTATATGTAAATGTAATATATTTCAGTTATTTTTAATAAATTTGCAAACATTTCTACAAACCTGTTTTTACCCTGTCATTATGGGGTATTGTGTGTAGATTGATGAGGAGAATTTAAAAAAAATATGTACATTTTAGAATAAGGCTGTAACGTAACAAAATGTGGAAAAAGTCAAGGGGTCTGAATACTCTCCTGAATGCACTGTATACATAATGTATAACCTAAAGGAGACATAGCATTCCCTTACAATCCTCTCTCTCTCTGTGTGTGTGTGTGTGTGTGTGTCAGGCTGTGCTACGTGAAGCTGAAGCTGTTGCTTATCGCCATCGAGAACAAGTCGGAGCTGGGAGAGAGCAGGTTTGTGTCTCTGTGTTTCTCTCTGTGTTGGACTCTGTCTAGGACCCTGAACCTAGGATGTTGTTCAAGATGTATCTGTAAATAGTTGTCTCTGTGTTGAACCATGATAATCACTAATGCCATTTATATTACTATTAACTTGCTAACTAGTACTACATTTCACTAACCATAAATTGCCAAATCCCACACACCCCACCCCAACACCATCAGCACTGTGAACAGTTTTTTTTACACTGACAACATTCAACTGAAAATAATGCATTTATAGTTTTTAGTACATAATGAAATCACGATAAATAGTCCAGACAAAGTAATGTCTAACCACCTTGTAATTATGGCATATTTTAAGCATGTCTTTTTTTACTTTTGCTCAGCGTTTTTGTTGCCTTCTTCTTCTTCTTCTTCTTCTTCTTCTTCTTCTTCTTCTTCTTCTTCTTCTTCTTCTTCTTCTTCTTCTTCTTCTTCTTCTTCTTCTTCTTCTTCTTCTTCTTCTTCTTCTTCTTCTTCTTCTTCTTCTTCTTCTTCTTCTTCTTCTTCTTGACATTGTATGCTTTTCTTTTGCCCATGACAGGTTTTCCTCCACTACATAGTGCCACCATTCTCAGTGTCATCTAAACTGCATATCTCTCTGATAGTAAAATTAAATGAATTCATAGATGCAGTCTGTGTAATAAGATCAGCTATTGAGATCCAATCTAAGTACCCCCAAGTTTACTAAAGTGATCTGAAGGTCTTCAACTTTTTCTCAGAGTGCTACAGCAAGTACTTTCATTTTCCCATCATAAGGTAGACAGACAGCAAATTGAGACGTACACTGAGCATACAAAACATTAGGAACACCTGCTCTTTCCATGACATAGACTGACCAGGGGAATCCAGGTAAAAGCTATGATCTCTTATTGATGTCACTTGTCAAATCCACTTCAATCAGAAGGGGAGGAGACCGGTTAAAGAAGGATTTAGACATGGATTGTGTATGTGTGCTATTCAGAGGGTGAATGGGCAAGACAAAAGTGCCTTTGAACGGGGTATGGTAGTAGGTGCCAGGCGCACCGGTTGGAGTGTGTCAAGAACTGCAACGCGGCTGGGTTTTTCACGGTCAATAGTTTCCCGTGTTTATCAAGAATGGTCCACCACTCAAAGGACATCCAGCCAACTTGACAGAACTGTGGGAAGCATTGGCGTCAACATGAGCCAGCATCCCTGTGGAATGCTTTCAACACCTTGTAGAGTCCATGATCCGACGAATTGAGGCTGTTATTTATTTTTTCTCAAAGTTTTTTAAATGATTATACAGATAACACAGACAGAACAGGTAGAGGGAAAAACACACACAGATCCCCTACCAGATCAAACCCACCCCAACCCCCCATGCTCCAACAGAGCCCCACCCCGAATTGAGTCTGTTCTGAGGGCAGAAGGTGTTCCTAGTGTTTTGTCCACTCACTGTATATTAGACTCATAATATAATTTTTCATCTCTCCTTTTATGTTAATAACAACTGTTTGATTTGAGGTTGTTTTCTTGTTGTTTGCAGAAGCCGAAAGCGGTATGCCCTCTTCCTTATCTTTCCCTACAAAGTTCCGCCCCACTCCACCACTTTAGAGCTGCTGACTTTGGGTTTAGTTTCCTAAGGATACTTTCCCAAACCCTATCTCAAAATGGGCCAATTTCTCACTCTATTTTCCATTGTCTTCCTTGTGCCTAATGCACTAACTTCTTTGCAGGCAGAGAGAGGATAGTTGAATTTGACTCGTTTGTTTCCTTGTTGATTTGTCTGTGATGTTGTTGACGTGCCCAGGCTAACACCCTCTCCTCCATTTCTACCTCCTGTTTTGAGTTTATTTCTGTCTCGCGTTGTCAGTCGTTCTGCTTAATTTCTCGCTCACTTCAGTTCTTTTTCAGTGTCTTCAGTCAGTCGTAACTGTGTGTGAATGTGGCCAGACTGATTATTATTTTATTTGTTTCAGTGTTATGTTCATCATCAAAACACTACTTCACAGTTCTATAGTTTTTATAGTTTTTGATAGTGTCATCTCACATATCAGTCAAGAGACACATTGTTGATATCTGAACCCCAGAAGGGTTTATTGATAAGATTATTGTTGATTTGTTGCACATTTTGGTAATATTATGGAATCGATGGATTGATTATATGTCATTGCAGCAAGCAGAGTTTGACACAAACTCAAGTTTTATTGATGATACCAACAGCATTTTGTTATGCCATGTCATATCTTAGTCAAGGCATGGAACCATTCACTTTGGATAAGTTAACATTTATCCAATGGAATTGTTCAATTTTAGTCCACGTTTCCCATGGGTGCTGCTAATCATCTTCAATCTGCATTTCATCCCTTTCTTACTGTTGTGTCCTGTGTGTGGATAATGTGTCCTGTGTGTGAGTACGTGTCCGCGTATGTGCACACGTACGTGTGTGTATGTATGCGTTTGTGTGTGTGTGCGTTCGCTCGTGTAGTGTGTGTCTCATTCACCATGTACCCCCATACCTGTGCGTCTCCGAGTAGATGTTATCAAGTGAGGTCACTTCCTGTCAGTTTGGTGTTTACGAAACAATCCAACTGCACAGAAGTTACTGCAACAGTCTTCATCTACGTACCTGTCTCTTACCTGTACTGCAGTGGCTATGCCTGGTCTGTTTTAGCAGTGTCCTACTCACACTGTTTGCTAACGGCATGCTATAACACTCTATCACATGGGATGTGTGATGCTTACCTTGTTGCTCACAATATGAGGTTTTGATCAGTTTGGGCCTCTATGCATAATTGGGAGAAAATTACATTTTGTTATGTTTCTTTGTTATTAGATCTGAAATTGGTAAACTATGTGAAATCTCAGATTTGGGCAGCAATGTGTTTTTTGTAGTGGCTTAGTTAGTTTATTTTGTATTGTCTCGAAACAGCATGTCAAACGTGTGCCTGTTTTCTACTCTGGGGGCCATTCAATCTGATATAAAGCTCAATAGTGCAACTTTAAACTTAAGTTTAGCAAAATATCCTGCTGTTTTGTTTTGCTGTCGCTATTGATTACAGCTTTATAACTGATCCAATCACCCCCTTATTGTTGAAATATGTTGTTTGTAGAGCCCAGAGGAAAGATTTTTATCATTTGCAAATTAGTCTGTAGTTTTCAGCTGCTCTCAGCTATTTTCTGAGCCTGCATGCACTTTCTACACATCTTGTTTGTATAGACAAGTGTTTTCAAATGTGTCAGTTTAGTACAACAAACTAAAAACGTATGTTAAGTATAAAGGCCAAGCAGTAAATTATTAGTTAAGTAAAGAGTTGGTCAAGTAAAATAAAGTATTAGTAAATAAAAGAGTGAATAAAGTACAACCAGGTATTAGTAAGTCATAGATGAGCATAAACATTCAGTAAAGTACAATAAAGTATTAGTAAACACAGGATTGGTAAATTAAATCCTTAGTAAATTATAATAAAGCCTTAGTAAAGTAAAGTGATTGAAAGTAAAGCCAAAGTAAAGTCAACAGAAAGTCAAGTATTGGTAAAGTAAAGTGTTCGTAAAAGTAAACTATTTGTAAAGTTAGTAAAGTATTAGTACAACCCTTTCGTCTGGGCTCGGAGGCCAGGGGTGTTGTCCCCTGACTGTCGGTCTGTGTGTTCCGTTTGTCAGTCTCTCAGTCTGCACTCCCATCATTGATGATTCCTACCCACAGGCAACCATTAATGAGCTGGGCGTGTGTGTGTCGTCCACTCTCGTCTCAGTCTAATTCAGGGGGAATGATACAGCCTGTCTGTACAGGCACCCTACACACCTAAACACCATTCAAATCTTCAATATCTTCTTTACTGTAGACATATGTTTGAGGATACAGTAAGGATCTGTGGGGTTAGAGGGTTAGGGGTTAGAGAGAATTTTGAATATTAATATTACTTATCTATTAGATAACATTAGATGGACATTTTCCCTCAGCTACTTGGTTATTAAATAATTATCCCTAATTAATCAAAATGGACATGGATAATGTTAAGAGAAATTGCATCTCACATTTCTTAGCTGAAATACACTAAAGCAGTACTGTAGCAATACTATTTTACTATAGCAATACTAGGTTACTATAGCAAAACTAAATTACTATAGCAAAACTAAGTTACTATAGCAATACTAGGTTACTATAGCAATACTATACTAGTTTACTGTAGCAATACTAGTTTACTGTAGCAATACTAGTTTACTATAGCAATACTATACTAGGTTACTATAGCAATACTAGGTTACTATAGCAATATTGGGTTAATATAGCAATACTAGGTTACTATAGCAATACTAGGTTAATATAGCAATACTAGGTTACTATAGCAATACTATAATACACTATATAACAACACTTAAGCCTATAGCAGATACTTCCTATTCCTCTGTAGTGTTAGTCCGAGGGCTGTTAATTCCCTAGCATTCCACTATCCATTACTAACCCAGGTAACATTATCTATAATAATAAATAATAATATGCCATTTAGCAGACACTTTTATCCAAAGCGACTTACAGTCATGCGAGCATACATTTTTGTGTATGGGTGGTCCCGGGGATCGAACCCACTACCTTGGCGTTACAAGCGCCGTGCTCTACCAGCTGAGCTACAGAGGACCACGGTGGACCACGGCGCTTCTAACTGTAGTTTAACATTCTACTGGCCATTACTAACCCAGGTAACATTATCTAACTGTAGTTTAACATTCTACTGTCCAGTAATAACCCAGGTAACAGTATCTAACTGTAGAGTAACATTCCACTGTCCAGTAATAACCCAGGTAACAGTATCTAACTGTAGAGTAACATTCCACTGTCCATTACTAACCCAGGTAACATTATCTAACTGTAGTTTAACATTCTACTGTCCAGTAATAACCCAGGTAACAGTATCTAACTGTAGAGTAACATTCCACTGTCCAGTAATAACCCAGGTAACAGTATCTAACTGTAGAGTAACATTCCACTGTCCAGTAATAACCCAGGTAACAGTATCTAACAGTAGAGTAACATTCCACTGTCCATTACTAACCCAGGTAACATTATCTAACTGTAGTTTAACATTCTACTGTCCAGTAATAACCCAGGTAACAGTATCTAACTGTAGAGTAACATTCCACTGTCCAGTAATAACCCAGGTAACAGTATCTAACTGTAGAGTAACATTCCACTGTCCATTACTAACCCAGGTAACAGTATCTAACAGTAGAGTAACATTCCACTGTCCATTACTAATCCAGGTAACATTATCTAACTGTAGTTTAACATTCTACTGTCCAGTAATAACCCAGGTAACAGTATTTAACTGTAGAGTAACATTCCACTGTCCAGTAATAACCCAGGTAACAGTATCTAACTGTAGAGTAACATTCCACTGTCCAGTAATAACCCAGGTAACAGTATCTAACTGTAGAGTAACATTCCACTGTCCAGTAATAACCCATGTAACAGTATCTAACTGTAGAGTAACATTCCACTGTCCAGTAATAACCCAGGTAACATTATCTAACTGTAGAGTAACATTCCACTGTCCAGTAATAACCCAGGTAACAGTATCTAACTGTAGAGTAACATTCCACTGGCTAGTAATAACCCAGGTAACACTATCTAACTGTAGAGTAACATTCCACTGTCCAGTAATAACCCAGGTAACAGTATCTAACTGTAGAGTAACATTCCACTGTCCAGTAATAACCCAGGTAACAGTATCTAACTGTAGAGTAACATTCCACTGTCCAGTAATAACCCAGGTAACAGTACCTAACTGTAGAGTAACATTCCACTGTCCAGTAATAACCCAGGTAACAGTATCTAACAGTAGTGTAACATTCCACTGTCCATTACTAACCCAGGTAACAGTATCTAACTGTAGAGTAACATTCCACTGTCCAGTAATAACCCAGGTAACAGTACCTAACTGTAGTTTAACATTCCACTGTCCAGTAATAACCCAGGTAACAGTATCTAACAGTAGTGTAACATTCCACTGTCCATTACTAACCCAGGTAACAGTATCTAACTGTAGTGTACTGTAGTTACATCTGTCCAATAGCTGATTGTCTCTGACTGCTGAGACTGAAACCACTCCATAACAACAACAATTTTAATTATTTCTGACCCACCTTCATCCCTCCTACCCCCGCACATACACCCACTCCAGAACCATGGTGAAAAAGAAAATAATTAAAATTGACCAACCAACTCATGCTGTTGTGCATTCTGTCAATCTGTGTGATTAGCCTCAGAGAAGGTGGCTAAACATGGAAACAAGGTGTTTTTCCACACAATAACACGTTAATAACCACCTCCATACGGTGACCTACTAGCCTAGCCTGTAGAGCATTTACAATACTTACATTATAACTGCTCTCCAAACAAAACAACTGGAGACTGCAGAAGCTGTGATTTCATTGACCAATCCGATCAGGCCGCTCTAGCTCGCTGGTTGTAGTACTGTAGCTCCAGCCAGAGGGTTGGTGATGTGTGTGTACCATTCCTCTTGATTAGCGCGTGAGTGTGACTCTTAACGGCTTCTAAAGAGTGTGATGTCATCTATCTCCCATTACTCAGCATCCTCATCAACCCGGGGAACCATGTAAAGATGCAGGAAGGAACTCTGGGGTTCTTCATTGCCAGCGACGCCAAAGAAGTAAAGAGGTAATAGTTATCATCCCACCATCTTGGGAAAAGACAGAAAAACGCCACAGGGAAAGTCTCAGTTTAAAGCCTTGCCTGGATTTTCTATTTTAATTCTCTTGGTGGCTAAAAGGGTCAACATACAAAGCGATTAGACATTAAACTTCTAGAGATATCTTGTTAAAAATAAAGGTTTCATTGGTAAAAAATAAAAGCCAGCTGGTAAAAGCCAACTCACAGGTCAACCCGGTGAAATGGGTCAAACTCACTAGGTGAGTTGCAAACAGAGATGATAAATGTCTATGCTGCTGTTTTCCCCCCTCAGAGCATTTTTCTACTGCAAAGCTTGTCACGATGACATCACAGACCCCAAACGGATCAAAAAGTGTGGCTGCAAACGACGTGAGTACACCTACGCCCCGCCCACAACACCCACAACACCCACACTCACCCCTCTCATGACCCACCACTCCTTCCATCCCCAACCCCTCCCCCACCTCCCACTGTCGTTGAAGTAGGATTAGGATGTGCTGTAATATGAATGATGTCATATCTCTCACTGTTTCTCGTAGGAATATCCTTTTACAGTGATAACTATATATTTTGCTATTATACCCTTTGAAATGGAAATTGCCCTAGTGGTGACCTTTAGTCCCATTTGAGAGTGTAATAACTGTGATCACAACTCCCAAACCTTCATTGTGGTATAATCCAAAATCAACGTGTGATGATATACTTTTTTCAATCCAAAAGAAGTACTGGCAACATTCTGCACATTTTGTTTGATTAATTAATTTAATGACTGAAATATGTAACCTTATCATGTCATGTATCATAATGACGAAACTAGCTAGAAAGGTGGACTGAAGTCTGGAGGAACAAAGAGACAAAGAGAGTGGGATAGTTCTATGTTAGTGTGCTAATGATGGAGTGAGTTTGAATGTCAGGGAGACGGAGAGGTAGAGCAGAAGACGGAGGTTGTCAGGTCACCATAGCGACTCTGTGACATGGGTAGAGGTAATGACCTCAGTCAGGTGGAAGAATAAATTAACCAATGGCTTTCCTCTGCTCAGGGTTCATGGGTCAGACAACCACATACCCTATTGGTCCAACCATACAGAATCAGAGCACTGTATTGGTCCAGGCATACTACTATAAACTTCTGCCAGCGGTGGATGACTTGGAATATGACCCTTTTCCTCTACTGGTACTGTTGATCAGACTGGGAATTAGAGAATGTTTACCAGGGTTGGGCGCAATTCCTTTTCAATTCAGGAAGTAAACTCATTGAGGAAAATAATATACAGTAAGTTGTATTTTCAGTCTACTTCCTGAATAGCCTGAATTAAAAACATTAAGGGCCTTATTACTACCTGACCTGCATGGGGACTTGTCCCAACGTTAAATAATTCCGCCTCCTGCAGTCACCATACATCTAGAAAGGGCAGCGACAATTACAGTAAGCAGCCTACGCCCAAACAAACACACGATCTCCACCGTGTTTTCCCTTTGTCTGTGTCATCTCAATTATTCCGACTAAAGGCCTGGTAGTCTGTCAGGTAGAGAGAACCAGAGACCTGTATTGTCTGATTAACACTATAGGGCCAAACTGAGGAAAGGCAAGCTGAGCTGTACTGGGCTGGCCTGGTTACACATCCACCACAGTTTCTGGAATGGACAATATGAAAATAAATATCTGAGCCAGCACTTTACAGGTTTGGGTCGGCCCTATAGTGTGAATCAGGCATTGGTCCACTAGATTTACTGTACCTGAAACGAGACAGTTCTATTCTAGATTATTTTAGTTTCTGTTTCTCCGTCTGATTTAATATTTTATTACCAACAGGAGGGCCCCATTTAGAGAGATGACAGTTCCATTACTAGAATGAACGTTTGTCTTCTGTTAGTTTTGTTTTGTTTCTGTTGTTGTTATTGTTGTTTATTTTGTCCAAGTTTTTATGACCATTGACATGTTCTTGACGTTATTTCCTTCCCCTGCTGCCGGTGGGAAACATCACTACTTTATTTAACCCACTGTCTGGTAGTGATTTACTGTGAGTAAAAAAACACGGGTTCCCTCCTACCCAGAGTGCAGTGCGATTCTCTTCTCTTTCTCAGCCAACAGTATTCTATGTTGCATGTTACCGGTATAGCATTTGCATCCTTCTCCCCGCCGCTCATCTTTACACTGTCCTCAGACCTGACCAGACCTGACCAGACCTGATTGTCTAGTCTGTCTCCTCATAGGCCCATAGTCTAGCCCGGCCTCTGACTCCTTTCAGATGACAGAGTGGAGTGTGGTTTTATAATAGGAGAAGTGCAAGAACTCTGTTCGACTCATTTAAAAAAGCTAAGTCATTTTTGGCTCAAAATCTGTATCAGAAACCCAATCCAAGCCTTGTGTCTTCAGCTCTCCGTAAGTCCTCCTTACCCCCTCTCTCTAATGTCACGCTCTGAGAAAGTTGAAAAATGAATGTGGTGACAATCTGAAATGTCAAACACAGATTGATATTGGTAATGCTAGTCATGGATTAAAGAGAGCCAAGACATCAGGGGGGAGACAGAAAAAATAAACCTCCAACCATTTAGATTCAAATTCATCTTCTCACTGTCAGAGGCTTTTTTGTACACTGCTGTATTTTCAGAAAAGCGTCAAATGTTCTTGTGGGAATTTCTGGAAATGATTCAGTTAGCGAGCAATGTCGCCAAAACACAATCAAAACAATCTGGTTGTACCCCCCTCACCCTCCACCCCCCTCGCTGTTTCTAGCGCCCCTCCCCGCCCCCAGTGCTTCTAGCCCCCCTCCCCGCCCCACAGTGCTCTGGTACTCTACCCAGCTCTAATCGTACCACTACCCAGAGTTCATCAGTGCATTTAGAATTGAAATATTGTCGCCCCCAGCCCCACTGCAATTCAATTCTAGATGGTCATCAGGCCCTTTTTCACTCGCTGTCCTCAGTGTCCTGAGTGAAAGAAATCTGCTTTACTAGACAGTGCTTTAAATGTACTGCAGGCGTAATTGCTGTACTGCTAGTTGGCCACTAGATGGCCATGTGCCACAGTCCTGAATGTAGCCTATCGAAGGAAACTGACACTGAGGTCCTCAGAAACCTATTCAGCAAGAATATGATGAGCAACAAGACATAGAATTACTAGAATCGTTTAAAAAAAAGCCCCTTAGGGCTCCCAAGTGGCGCAGCGGTCTAAGGCACTGCATCTCAGTGCTTGAGGCGTCACTACAGACCCCCTGGTTCGATTCCAGGCTGTATCACAACTGGCCGTGATTGGGAGTCCCATAGGGCGGCGCACAATTGGCCCAGCGTCGTCCGGGTTTGGCCGGTGTAGGCCGTCATTGTAAATAATAATTTGTTCTTAACTGACTTGCCTAGTTAAATAAAGGTAAAATAAATTAATTAGACCACTGTAATTGAACTGGAACACTCATGGGTATACAGTACCAGTCAAAAGCTTGGACACACCTACTCATTCAAGGGTTTTTCTTTATTTTTACTATTTTCTACATTGTAGAATAATAGTGAAGACATCAAAACTATGAAATAACACATATGGAATCATGTAGTAACCAAAAAAGTTAATATTAATATAATTTCACACATCATATACCTCAGGTTCTCATATACCTCAGGTTCGGTGATTTGAAAAGGATATATGTCATTCTGAGAAGAGAAAAACTGTAAATTATAATTGAAAACAACAATAAAACATTAAAATGAGAACACTATAAGTTGATCTGACCATGTAATACACAGTGTCTGTCACATGTCACCATAAGTTAGTAACACTACACTATTCAGTAAAAGCTGCTGGGCTTACTGAGAATGAAAAGATGTGAAGAGGGGGACGGAGGGGAAAATGAAGCAGGTGCTTCCTGAAAATGTCAATGTACACTACCGGTAAAATGTTTTAGAATACCTACTCATTCAAGGGTTTTTCTTTATTTTTACTATTTTCTACATTGTATAATAATAGTGAAGACATCAAAATGATGAAATACCACATATGGAATCATGTAGTAACCAAAAAAGTTTTAAACAAATCGAAATGTTTTTTTTATTTGAGATTTTTCAAATAGCCACCCTGCCTTGATGACAGCTTTGCACACTCTTGGCATTCTCTCAACCAGCTTCACCTGGAATGCTTTTCCAACTGTCTTGAAGGAGTTCCCACATATGCTTAGCACTTGTTGGCTGCTTTTCCTTCACTCTGCCATCCGACTCATCCCAAATCATCTCAATTGGGTTGAGGTCAGGGGATTGTGGAGGTCATCTGATGCAGCACTCCATCACTCTCCTTCTTGATCAAATGGCCCTTACACAGCCTGGAGGTGTGTTGGGTCATTGTCCTGTTGAAAAACAAATGATAGTCCCACTAAGCCCAAACTAGATGGGATGGCGTATCGCTGCAGAATGCTGTGGTAGCCATGCTGGTTAAGTGTAAATGAATCACAGACAGTGTCACCAGCAAAGCACCCCCACACCATAACACCTCCTCCTCCATGCTTTACGGTGGGAACTACACATGCAGAGTTCATCCATTCGCCCACACCGCGTCTCACAAAGACACAGTGGTTGGAACCAAAAATCTCAAATTTGGACTCCAGACCAAAGCACAAATATCCTCCGGTCTAATGTCCATTGCTCATGTTTCTTGGCCCAAGCAAGTCTCTTCTTCTTATTGGTGTCCTTTAGTAGTGGTTTCTTTGCAGCAATTTGACCATGAAGGCCTGGTTCACACAGTCCCCTCTGAACAGTTGATGTTGAGATGTGTCTGTGACTTGATCTCTGTGAAGCATTTATTTGGGCTGCAATTTCTGAAGCTGGTAACTCTAATGAACTTATCCTCTGCAGCAGAGGTAACTCTGGGTCTTCCTTTCCTGTGGTGGTCCTCATGAGAGCCAGTTTCATCATAGCGCTTGATGGTTTTTGCGACTGCACTTCAAAGTTCTTGAAATGTTCCGTATTGACTGACCTTCATGTCTTAAAGTAATGATGGACTGTCGTTTCTCTTTGCTTATTTGAGCTGTTCTTGTCATAATATGGACTTGGTCTTTTACCAAATAGGGCTATCTTCTGTATACCCCCCCCCCCCCCCCCCCCCCTACCTTGTCACAACACAACTGATTGGCTCAAACGCATTAAGAAGGAAAGAAATTCCACAAATTAACTTTTAAGAAGGCACACCTGTTAATTGAAATGCATTCCAGGTGACTACTTCATGAAGCTGGTTGAGAGAATGACCAAGAGTGTGCTAAGCTGTCATCAAGGCAAAGGGTGGCTATTTGAAGAATCTCAAACATTAAATATATTTTGATTTGTTTAACACTTTTTTTGGTTACTACATGATTCCATATGTGTTATTTCATAGTTTTGATGTCTTCGCTATTATCCTACAATGTAGAAAATAGTACAAATAAAGAAAAACCATGGAATGAGTAGATGTGCCCAAACTTTTGACTGGCACTGTAAGTATGACATATATCCTTTTCAAATCACCGAACCTGAGGTATATGAGAACCTGAGGTATATGATGTGTGAAATTATATTAATATTACATTTTTGGTTACTACATGATTCCATATGTGTTATTTCATAGTTTTGATGTCTGTAGAAAATAGTAAAAATAAAGAAAAACCCTTGAATGAGTAGGTGTGTCCAAACTTTTGACTGGTAGTGTATATACAGTATGGCCGCCGGTCCACCCATCACAGACCCGTTGATTTGAATGGAATGACTGTTCTAGTAAGACTATTTCTATGGTTACAGTAAACAGTGACATAAACAGTGAAAGGGATACTTTCATTAACCCTTGACTATGTTTTATGGTGTGTGGTGTTTTGGTTTGGTTTGGTTGAGGATGTGTCTGAACACAAAGTGGGTCTTTCGAGGAAAAACTGTTCTTTGTGTTACGCATTCCTCTATTTCCATTTGTGCTTTGCAACTAAAGTGGCTTTAGTAATGTTATTACTTTTATTACTATTTATTTAGTATGTTATTATCAGATGAGGTTAAGTTTGATTAAGTCAAAGTCAACACGGCTCATCACGTTCTTGTTAAATAGGGTTGTCTTTCACTTTAAGGACCAGTGACCATAAGTATGGTGTCCATTTTAGGACATCCTTCTCACTATAAATATTCAACTTGACTTCTGTCTTTGTACATTTTGTCTGGTGGAATGTTGAATGTGACATATGAAAACAAACTTTTATTTCCAGAACCACAAAAAACCAAACAGCGTAGTGGTGGTGTGTTAACAATCCCCTTTCTTTGACAAAATGTACACAGACAGTCATGTTCATGTTGACGCTTGTGGTGAAGAATTTCCTATAAGGGACACCGTAGTCCGTACTGTAGTAGGCTAGATCAGGGTAACGGGTATGTGTGAAGTCATTTGTGTCAAACACATTGTCGTGTCGTGTTCTCCATCTCCCCCTCCCATGTCTCACTAACCAACATTACAACTACACGTACTGTGTATAATTGAATGCCCAGCCTAGAAAAAACACTCAAGATGTAAAATTCAGAGTTCAGCATGAAAACGAACAAATAATATAGTTCAGCATGAAATGACACTCACTGCTCGCGTCTGTCACGCCTCCAAACTGTTTCTGCTCTGTAAACAGTTACCCCACTCCACACCCTTTAATCGCTATGATCTCTCTATGCATGCTTATGAATGTTTATAAAGCACTTGTGCATGCTGTTTACAGGACACACACAGTCCCTGTTTGGGGCCAGGCCTTGCTCTCCATTCTCTCTCTGGCTACAAACTGAAACCTGCAACCTTGTTTGTGCTCCTAGACACATGTGGTTAAAACAGTAAAGGTAGACATATAGTTCTCCCCAGAGAGAGAGAGAGAGAGAGAGAGAGAGAGAGAATGTTTCTGTGATGGTGTTAGAGTGAGTTTGCACCCTGGCACAAAGAGAATGGGAACCAGGGACTGTTGTCTGTCGCTGAACCAGAATCACAGCAATCTAGAAGCACTGCTCTGAGGGGCTTTCACTACCTACCACTCCTCCTGGGGTTAAGATCTTGACACATATACACATGCTTCAAATGTTTGATATACGTCATGTACATGCACAGTAACTTGCAAATACAGTGCATTCGGAAAGTATTCAGACCCCTAGACTTTTTCCACATTTTGTTACGTTACAGCCTCATTCTAAAATTGATTAAATAAAAACATTTCCTCATCAATCTACACACAATACACCATAATGACAAAGCGAAAACAGAAATACCTTATTTACATAAGTATTCAGTCCCTTTGCTATGAGACTCGAAATGGAGCACAGGTGCTTCATGTTTCCATTGAGTATCCTTGAGATGTTTCTACAACTTGATTGGAGTCCACCTGTGGTAAATTCAATTGATTGGACATTATTTGGAAAGGCTATATAAGGTCCCACAGTTGACAGTGTATGTCAGAGCAAAAACCAAGCCAAGAGGTCAAAGGAATTGTCCGTAGAGCTCCGAGACAGGATTGTGTCGAGGCACAGATCTGGGGAAGGGTACCAAGAAATGTCTGCAGCATTGAAGGTCCCCAAGAACACAGTGGCCTCCATCCTTCTTAAATGGAAGAAGTTTGGAACCACCAAGACTCTTCCTAGAGCTGGCCGCCCGGACAAACTGAGCAATCGGGGGGAAAGGGCCTTGGTCAGGGAGGTGACCAAGAACCCGATGGTCACTCTGACAGAGCTCCAGAGTTCCTCTGTGGAGATGGAAAACCTTCCAGAAGGACAACCATCTCTGCAGCACTCCACCAATCAGGCCTTTATGGTAGAGTGGCCAGACGGAAGCCACTCCTCAGTAAAAGGCACATGACAGCCCGCTTGGAGTTGCCAAAAGGCACCTAAAGACTCTCAGACCATGAGAAACAAGATTCTCTGGTCTGATGAAATCAAGATTAAACTCTTTGGCCTGAATGCCAAGCATCACATCTGGAGGAAACCTGGCACCATCCCTACGGTGAAGCGTGGTGGTGGCAGCATTATGCTGTGGGAATGTTTTTCAGCAGCAGGGACTTGGAGACTAGTCAGGATCGAGGGAAAGCTGAACGGAGCAAAGTACAGAGAGATCCTTGATGAAAACCTGCTCCAGTGCGCTCAGGACCTCAGACTGGGGAGAAGGTTCACCTTCCAACAGGACAACGACCCTAAGCACACAGCCAAGACAACGCAGGAGTGGCTTCGGGACAAGTCTCTGAATGTCCTTGAGTGGCCCAGCCAGAGCCCGGACTTGAACCCGATCGAATATCTCTGGAAAGACCTGAAAATAGCTGTGCAGCGACGCTCCCCATCCAACCTGACAGAGCTTGAGAGGATCTGCAGAGAAGAATTGGAGAAACTCCCCAAATACAGGTGTGCCGAGCTTTTAGCGTCATACCCAAGAAGACTGTAATCGCTGCCAAAGGTGCTTCAACAAAGTATTGAGTAAAGGGTCTGAATACTTATGTAAATGTGATATTTCCGTTTTTTATTTTTAATAAATTAGCAAAAATGTCTAACTGTTTTTGCTTTGTCATTATGGGGTATTGTGTGTAGATTGATGAGGGAATAAAACAATTTAATACATTTTAGAGTAAGGCAGTAACGTAACAAAATGTGGAAAAAATCAAGGGGTCTGAATACTTTCCGAATGCACTGTACACACACACCACTCTCAAGCCTCTCTGGAGGAGTGCTGCTGTAGTGAAACTCTTGTCCTGCATGGAATGGCCTGGCCAGTCTAGCCAGTAGATTAGTGTGATGAAGCCTTGACCACGGCTGGCGCAGCTGCATGAGGGGAAACAGGTACGTGATCCACACCTTTAGCCGAACGGATAGAGGATGTTTTGATCTGTTCTGTTCTGAATTAAACATTATATGTCAGTATGAGGTTTGCTGCTGAAGACATTGTCCATGCTACTCTCCGGCCCCGAATGACTCCTCTCTCCCCCTCCCCTTCCCCCTCTCTCCCCCTCCCCTTCCCCTCTCTCCCCCTCCCCTTCCCCTCTCTCCCCCACCCCTTCCCCTCTCTCCCCCTCCCCTTCCCCTCTCTCCCCTTCCCCTCTCCCCCACTGTCATATTTGCCTTTATACCTGTTATGGCATTTACAGCCTTAGGACACAGCTTGACCCTTGACCCTGAGACCACCTTGACTAGTCAAATTGGACTTTCAAATTGTTAAAAACTTTATTGATCAAAACAAGACTTTGGGATAACATTGAAAAAGCTTCATTTGACCATGGTAAAATATTGCACATAATTCTCACTGCAAAGAACCACAGTCAGTTTGGCACTCTAGCCGTATATGAGGCACCCTAATGTTTTAGGCAGGGGTTGGATCCAAAATTATTTTCCAATCGTTTTGTTCTAAACAGAACCGCTATTTTTTCATTCCGTTCCAGTGTTCTGACCAGCATAATAGGGTTCTGAACTGGTTCAGATTCAGATTGTTCCTTTTTGTGCTTTTTTTACTCGTCAAATCTACATAGTTTAGCTCATTAATTTACTCCACCAATTATCAAGGATAGAGAAGCTTGCTACAGAACGGGTAGTTGTTTACATGTTTGATTGGCCATATAAGGGCAGGCGTGAGATTTGACTGAAATTTCAAGGGTGGGGAGAGAGCGAGAAAGATGGGTGGACATGAAGGGAGCTTGGCTTGAAGCGATAAACATTGTGACGTGAATTGGAATGCGTTTAGGTTATTACTAGCATCAGAACTTCACTGAATAACATAATTATATACTATACATGAAAACAATTTTCGGAAACAAAAAAACTGTTCTCAAGATTAAAAAATACTACAGATGACTTTCGTTCTCGGTTCTAGTTTCCGTTCCTTGAAAATGGTTGTTATTTTACGTTTTTCTGTTGTGTTCCCTGAACCGGTTCCAACCCCTGATTGTATGTGCCCTTTACTGGTCTTTTGTTGGGGTTCAAGCCTGCGAGAGCTGGCATTTAAGGCTTTGCATTTGTTATCTTATTGTCTCCATTATGGAGTAACCTTCCTGCTTCCCTGGATGACTATGTCTCCTTTATGGAGTAACCTTCCTGCTTCCCTGGATGACTATTTCTCCTTTTGCCATTAACCTGCTGCTTTTCCTCTTCCTCTCATCCCAAAACATGACTGTAGCCAAGATGTCCGTCTACAAACAAATGAAACTGGCATGTTGTTTTGATTGCGGCCGTTCAGAGCAAGACTGCTCTTGCATGTCAGGCAGTGTACATAGTAACATGGACACCCTACAGAGGGCCTACCCACTCTCCTCTGTCTCTGTTCATGATTGCGCAACCACTTTACGTGCCTGTAAGTTACACCGCCCAACACATGCTGTTACATGTCTGTTCTGTGTGTGTACTATGTGGACCATGTACCTTTGTGCTTTATCCGTAACGTTGTCCATGTGGCGTGCTTCCATAGTTGCTGTTGCGCTGTCGTGGCTTATTTAAATGTATTATTATTATTATTATTAATTTGAGTTGTATTTATTATTATTATTATTATTATTATTTCTGTGGGTTGTATTGGGTGGTAGTGATGGTGTTGGTTTGTGCCGCTGCTCTACTGTAGCTGTTAGCTCTGTGGCTAGCACCTGCCACATCAGTCAAGCACTCGTGTGGTGACTGTTATTAGACAGTTGGTGTTTGGTGTGTTATATTCTTTCTAATGCTGTATGTTATCTATAAATATGATGAAGAAAAATGTGACAGTTGAAGGGATGATTTATTTCTGAATGTATGCAATATCTTGATGATGATTTTTGTTGTTGCTTTGTCTTACTTTGTTTATGAAGGTATCACAAGCCTTTAGAGGAACCTCCTTGCTAATTATGTTTCTGTTCTGTTCCTGATCATTTTATTTCAAGCACGCAGGACTGATTTGTGCAGGAACGAGAGCCATGTTCATCAAATGATATTCATAGATAATGTAGATATGTAGCATATCAAATGGGGTTTATCTTAAAGGTACACTACTAAACAAGATGACATCATCATACACATTGGGAAGACCTACCTACATAATCCCCGTCTCAGAATTTTGGGCAACCAATTGCAGCGCTCCGGTGGATAGTAACTGTCGATAAGCAAGCTTGGGTCCAACGCATGGACAGGCTCTCATTTCAAATGCATGGAAGCCAATGAGGGCAATGGCAAAAGCGGAGAGTTTTCATTAAAAAAAAAAAGTTGCTTAAATGGCTAAATAATTGAACAGTACACAAGGGGTACTTACGAATGATTCCTAAAATACAGTGCCTGTTGATGGAGTATTTTCAAGAAAGTATATTTTTGTTGGTTAGCTAGCTAGCTCTCATTGACCTTGCTAACGCTAGGTAACTAGCTAGCCAGTTAATGTAACTTATATTCTCCAAATGTATGTTAACTAGCTTATGAATATAACTCACATCTGCTGTCGACATCAGGATACAATTTGAGTACTGGTTATCTCCAAAAGTGGTTAGTAGCTTTGACTGCATGCTGACGGTGCATTCAGAGGCATCCAGTGGCTAGCCACAGTACAAACTTCATTTTACCAGGTTCCCGTGAAGCAATTTTAATGACAGTCCACCACAACATGCCAGAGAGTTTTCTGATTAGCAATGGGTAGGCAGTCTGTGTTTAATTTGTGTATTAAAAACACAGTTTGAGATCATTGTGAGGGGTTTCTCCATTGGTGTCAATGGGGAATTGGACTTCCCGGGAAATCAGGGGGGTGGGGCTTAGCGAGGGGGATTTATTGGCTCTTCACAATATCACACCCTCCTTTGTGGCCACGCCCTGTTGTGTATGATGATGTCATTTTGCTGTCTGTACCTTTTAAAGTTTCTCAGTGTTTACATCCTCATTGCCAGACTTCCACCACGTTTCTCTTCAAGGTTCTCACCGTGGCTTATTACATGATTATATGTGATTATATGACTCTTGTCTGTCAGAGTATTGTGGTCTGTAGTTGTTGACAGTTGATTGTGTATCTCTCTTCTTCATTATTATAGGAAAGTGGTTCATTTTCCAATGAGAAAACAATGAATATGTGTTGAGTTCTTTTTATACCCAGTCCTTTGGAAATACTTTTCCAGTTACCTTCCGATCGTGAGCCTCAGCCGTGATACTCATCCAGCCAACAGATATGGATTGACTTGTAAAGAAGGAGCGAGCTACTCCACACGTTTAAGAGAAAGAACTCCCGCTCTCTTTTCCCAGGCTTGATCTTTGTTCCATCAGATTACTTTCTCCTCTTCCTCAGTAATCAGGAACCCAGGAGAACGTTCCGTTTCCTTAAAGGGATAGGTCACTTTTTTAAGTTGTAGCTTATTTTCAATTTACCGAGGGTGTTTCATCCAAACCATTTTTACATTCGTTTGCTGGTTATTTAGCAACATCCAGGTTGCTAGTGGAAACAGATTTAACCAGTGAGCGGTGCATTCAAAAGTGTGGGATCTTAGCCCTCTGTTGCTCCTCTAGCCCCATCTGATTTCCTCCTCAGCATTCTCCCACCATCTGTGAGTGAGCTTAGACTAGATTAGTGTCAACCGGCTGATGTTGAGTTTGGTTTTTCCTCTTGTAGGTTGGTGGGCCGCTACTCTCCCTCTGCACCTACAGTATAGCTGGCCATTAGGGAAGTTACTGATCTCTCTCCTCCCTCAGCCCTTCCTAGGATTTCAGGGAATCCTCCCGTCTTGGATTTCTTCTTGTTCTCTTTATAGGGGAAATCTGCACTTGCTTCATCCATTTTTGGACTTATAAATTAATTATATGAACCCATTGATTCTTGAAGAATATAACTTACCTCATGAGCTTAGTTCAACTGTCGTACCCCCCTTCAGCTCTGTCTATGAATTTGAAAGTGGTTACATTTCTCCAGCCCCTTCCCTCAGCTTCTTACCAAAAAGGGCGAAAACACTATTGTTTCAACTGCGGATTTCCCCGTTTAACTCTGGAGAGAGAGAGAGAGAATAGGGTCATTTAGAATGTCTGTTAGGGATCACTATCGTTGGATTTCCTCTCTTTCTTTTTTCTGTCTTTCAGAGTGGATAGGATGTCTCTGACCACGACTTCATTCACATCTGAAATGGATTTTCCTCTCTGGATAACTGGTTTATTTTTTAATAGTGTTTTCTTATTTATTTACTGTATCTGCGAGGCGCTTCACGTCGTATGTTATTAAACATTTTGATCACACGTTATGCAGAGTTGTTTGCCAATTGAAATATACATGGACGGGCTAATAGTAGACATGTGAAACTCATAGCTGTGTCTAAAACGAAAGTGGTTGCGCTTCTACCTAAGTAAGAGCAGTGATTCAGCTAGAAGGTGAACCTTGTGGAGGTCATCTTTGGGACACACTGTTGTTGGTCTCTCAGGGCCCTCTGTTTGTCCCAGCTTACACCTTTTCTGGGGGCCATCTGGGGTTCGGGCCTGGAGGCTGGGCCTGCTGGGCTGGGGCTGGGGCAGGGTTTAGGGTCAGAAGAAGGGGTTTGGGTCTGGAGGCTGGGCCTGCTGGGGCAGGGTTTAGGGTCAGGAGAAGGGGTTTGGGTCTGGAGGCTGGGCCTGCTGGGGCAGGGTTTAGGGTCAGTAGAAGGGGTTCGGGTCTGGAGGCTGGTCTGTGTGCTGTGAGCAAGTCTCGGTCTTACTTACAGAGATAGGGAGGTATGTGTGTGTGTGTGTGTGTGTGTGTGTGTGTGTGTGTGTGTGTGTGTGTGTGTGTGTGTCAGCGGCAGGCGTTCCTTATCCAGCCTGACATGGAAATTATGTTTGCATTTTCATTTCCCTGGCCCTGCTGGTCCATCACCGAAACGTGCCCTGACAGCTCCTGTCCACCAGGCAAGCTTGGTTCCCCCTCTCCCCTCCGCACTCCTCCGTCGCGCTACCCCTCAGACGCTAGCCGGTTAGCCTGCCGCCTCTGCGGACACGGGCAAATCGATAGCGACAGATGCCAGGGCCAGCGAGGGTCCTTGTTTGAGGGTGTGTGTCACAGGGCAGCCCTGGGCCTTCACTGTGACCTTTACTGTTGAAGACAGAACAGAGCAGAGCAGGGAAGGCTAATCTAGCTAGCTAGCTCACTGTCTGACTCCATCCCAAATAGCACTCTATTCCCTATATAATAGCACCCTATTCCTTATATATTGCAGATTACTTTTGGCCAGAGCCCTCCCTTGTATCCTTCATACAAATCACTATATCCACTGCTTTATCTCAGATGTATTCCTCTTTGAACTGTGAAATACCCGACTCAAACGACTGACTCAGAATGACTCAGTGGCCGTACGCAGCCACATCCCGAGTCCCTGGTGCCCACACATTCAGAAATCAAAAGATGGTTTAGTATTTAGTGTAAAAGCTCTGACAAAGGCTAAGAGAACACAAAACACTTTTCAATGAGGAAACAGAAATCCACTTAAAAATATGTACAGTTGAAGTCGGAAGTTTACATACACTTAGGTTGGAGTCATTAAAACTTGTTTTTCAACCACTCCATACATTTCTTGTTAACAAACTATAGTTTTGGCAAGTCGGTTAGGACATCTACTTTGTGCATGACACAAGTAATTTTTCCAACAATTGTTTACAGACAGATTATTTCACTGTATCACAATTCCAGTGGGTCAGAAGTTTACGTACACTAAGTTGACTGTGCCTTTTAAACAGCTTGGAAAATTCCAGAAAATGATGTCATGGCTTTAGAAGCTTCTGATAGGCTAATTGACATAATTTGAGTCAATTGGAGGTGTACCTGTGGATGTATTTCAAGGCCTACCTTCAAACCCAGTGCCTCTTTGCTTGACATCATGGGAAAATCAAAAGAAATCAGCCAAGACCTCAGAAAAACAATTGTAGACCTCCACAAGTCTGGTTCAACCTTGGGAGCAATTTCCAAATGACTGAAGGTACCACGTTCATCTGTACATCTGTACAAACAATAGTATGCAAGTATAAACACCATGGGACCACGCAGCCGTCATACCACTCAGGAAGGAGACGTGTTCTGTCTCCTAGAGATGAACGTACTTTGGTGCGTAACGTGCAAATAAATCCCAGAACAACAGCAAAGGACCTTGTGAAGATGCTGGAGGAAACAGGTACAAAAGTATCTATATCCACAGTAAAACGAGTCCTATATCAACATAACCTGAAAGGCCGCTCAGCAAGGAAGAAGCCACTGCTCCAAAACCGCCATAAAAAAGACAGACTACGGTTTGCAACTGCACATGGGGACAAAGATCGTACATTTTGGAGAAATGTCCTCTGGTCTGATGAAACACAAATATAACTGTTTGGCCATAATGACCATCGTTATGTTTGGAGGAAAAAGGGGGTTCTTGCAAGCCGAAGAACACCATCCCAACCGTGAAGCACGGGGGTGGCAGCATCATGCTGTGGGGGTGCTTTGCTGCAGGATGGACTGGTGCACTTCACAAAATAGATGGCATCAAAATTACGTGGATATATTGAAGCAACATCTCAAGACATCAGTCAGAAAGTTAAAGCTTGGTCGCAAATGGTCTTCCAAATGGACAATGACCCCAAGCATACTTCCAAAGTTGTTGCAAAATGGCTTAAGGACAACAAGGTCAAGGTATTGGAGTAGCCATCACAAAGCCCTGACCTCAATCCTATAGAAAATTTGTGGGCAGAACTGAAAAGCGTGTACGAGCAAGGAGGCCTACAAACCTGACTCAGTTACACCAGCTCTGTCAGGAGGAATGGGCCAAAATTCACCCAACTTATTGTGGGAAGCTTGTGGAAGGCTACCCAAAACATTTGACCTAAGTTAAACAATTTAAAGGCAATGCTACCAAATACTAATTGAGTGTATATAAACTTCTGACCCACTGGGAATGTGATGAAATAAATAAAAGCTGAAATAAATCATTCTCTCTACTATTATTCTGACATTTCACATTCTTAAAATAAAGTGATGATCCTAACTGACCTAAGACAGGGAATTTTTACAAGGATTAAATGTCAGGAATTGTGAAAAACTGAGTTTAAATGTATTTGGCTAAGGTGTATGTAAACTTCCGACTTCAACTGTACTTGTGTAGCCTATGATGCAATACCGGTGATCATTTTAAGGAGAACAAAAACTACTTAGCCTACATTTGAACACCACCGCAGAAGCTTCGCTATGTGGCATCTTCCCAATTAAGTTGCCTAGTTTTGTTGTTTGGCTTCTTGAAGAGAACTAGGGCCTATCACTCGCAGCCCACCTCTTCCAACGCATTGTGGAAAAGTGTGCATCAAATTCTACTAATTTAAGAGCCGGAATAAGTATAACATCCTGGCATTTAAACCATACTCCATTTTTGAAAATTCAGATACTATAAAACGTTTTATTTTCGTATACTGAGGTGTCGTGCGCGATTGCGTTGTTTCACGTTATTGGTTAATTTCCATTTTCAGAATGTCGCATACTTTATTTTTTCGCATACTCAAACAACCTAACCCTGATGAATCATTCAATAGCTGGAGTTCAATTCAGCTCATCTGAAAATTCCTAACCACGAAACAAGATTTTGATAACGTCCCACAGTTTTGTTTAATTTTTCCAGAAGCACGGCGTTATCCCCTCCTCTGTTTCACCTAGCTCTCTCTGTTTCACCTAGCTCTCTCTGTGCCCATACAGTCCATCACTCTCATCCACCTCATCCACCTCATTCACCTCATTCACCTCATCCACCTCATCCACCTCATTCACCTCATCCACCTCATTCACCTCATCCACCTCATTCACCTCATCCACCTCATCCACCTCATTCACCTCATCCACCTCATCCACCTCATCCACCTCATCCATCGCCGTTTTGTACTATTTTCTCTGTTCAGCTCACATTTTGCGCCATAACCAATGTGCTCTAAAATAGTGCTAATTCATTATTGTCTAACCATTTTCTTTTTACTTCATTTTACATCTGTCTGGGATGTCTGTCTGGGATGTCTGTCTGGGATGTCTGTCTGGGATGTCTGTCTGCCACTCCGTCCATCTCTCTCATCATGATCATCACCACTCTTCCTCCATGTAACCTGTCATCTGTCTCTTGCACTTCTCCTCAGCCAAATATAAGTATAATGGATATGTCAGATCACGTAAGTGTGTTTCTCTGTCCCTCCCCATACCTCCTCCACCATCACCACTCCCCCTCCCCATACCTCCTCCACCATCACCACCCCCCACCCCATACCTCCTCCACCATCACCACCCCCCCTCCCCATACCTCCTCCACCATCACCACCCCCCCTCCCCATACCTCCTCCACCATCACCACCCCCCTCCCCATACCTCCTCCACCATCAACCCCCCCCATACCTCCTCCACCATCACCACCCCCCCTCCCCATACCTCCTCCACCATCACCACCCCCCTCCCCATACCTCCTCCACCATCACCCCCCCCCCTCCCATAACCTCCTCCACCATCACCACCCCCCTCCCCATACCTCCTCCACCATCACCCCCCCCCTCCCCATACCTCCTCCACCATCACCCCCCCCCCCCCCCTCCCCCATCACCTCCTCCACCATCACCCCACCACCTCCCCCACCCCCCCCATACCTCCTCCACCATCACCCCCCCCCCTCCCCATACCTCCTCCACCATCACCACCCCCCCCTCCCCATACCTCCTCCACCATCACCACCCCCCTCCCCATACCTCCTCCACCATCACCACCCCCCCTCCCCCTACCTCCTCCACCATCACCCCCCCATACCTCCTCCACCCCTCACCCCCCCCCTCCCCATACCTCCTCCACCACCCCCCCCCCCCCCATACCTCCTCCACCATCACCACCCCCCCTCCCCATACCTCCTCCACCATCACCACCCCCCACCCACCCAAATCCCTCCATGTGTTTAAACCTGTACTAGTCCCCCACCACCCAAGTACTAATACAATGCTTTGGTTTGGTTTTTGTTCTCCCCTTTAGTTGTAGAATACAAAGCTACCATCTTAAAGTCTCTTCTGTACATGATGTGAATTGATACAGAGGCCCTTGACAATAATAACACAGTTTGTCCGCAATGATAATGTGTAAATTAATCTCATTGCCTGGCGTGTTATAAGCCCCCGATCCCTTCTCACATCAGAACTACATAGATAACTTCACTATCTTCTAAGTGACCTAGCTAATTCAGTACCTAACTGTATAACATATATATCCTTTACATATACTTAACATATATTTGTAGCAATTGATTTAAGATCCATGCTCTTGTTCTTGATGACGTTGTATTCAGCTCAATGTTTTTGTGTTGTGCTGCGTTGAGCAGCAGAGGGCGCTACAACACCAGGGAAAACGGGAAGTCAAAAAGAGACCGGGGTTCGGTTCAAAGCAGATTGCAGTTTAGGTAAATCTCTCAGTATAAAGTATAGCGTTGACCAAATGTACTAATTTCTATCTTGTTTCATATAGATAAATGTGAATGTTAATTGTTAAATGCTTTTTGTTTGTTATAACGTTATGTTTTTAGTTTTCTTTTTATCCTACAGTTTAATAAACATTTCAGATGCTTACTGTATAATACACTGCTTTCTGTGTTTGTCATAACTACAGAGGTACTGTATGATACATAACAAAAATAACTGTAATGATAAAAATAACACAATTAATTATAACAAAATGATAAAATAATCCAATACTAGTAATACAATACAAAATAATACATAATGTTACACAGCAAAAAATACCAAATCATACTATGATACCAACCCAGTATCCAGCACCGGTGGGCCTAATATTAATACACAAATCAAACTTAGCTCAGTTACAATAAACAAACAACAATATCTACAACAGTATCCTCTCCGCTGTCCCATCCTGTCTGTGATTTGCATAGGACCCTGATGGGGACTTGCATGCGTGATGGCCCCGTCTTGTGATTAGCATTTCTGGTGGGGACAGTTCCCGTCTGGACTGTTCTGAGTGCACAGTGGACCTGCCAGGGTGTGTGAGTACGCTCCAACACTGCGCGTGTTTGACAAGGGACAGATGAATCCAGGAGCTATCGGTGGCGCTCTGTAAATCAAGGAGGCAGCTGACAGCTGGGATAAACCTCTGTTTAGTGCTCCGGGAGGGGGATGGGGGGGAGGGGGGACCGGCTAAGACCATGACACACACACACACACACACACACACACACACACACAGCAACCTGTCAACCTACTTTACCATAATATGTCATATGTACCATACATTGTGGTAGAGATGAGGTTCCACTATGGAGGGGTTTTCAACGTAATTTGGCCTGGCTATTTACAGACCGACTGTGTTACTGCTTTGTTCTAACACGCACTGTAGCAGAACGGAGCAAGAGGGAGAAAAAAACAGATGTTTATTGTTTATTAGGAATGAAAAAATCATAATTACATTGAGGTGTCATTGTCAATTACTGAGAAAAGAATGACCCAACTACAGGACCATTCTCAAACCAGTCATTATCAAGTGGGAAATAAATGGTCCAACAATAAAAATCACATTCATTTCCCCCATTCAAATATTTAGTGATGCAGGAGAAATTATTAATAATTTATATAACATTGTTTTAATAAGGATTTATTTTGTCTCAGTGTTTGTAACTGCGGATGAGCATGTTTAAAAAAGAAGCAGAAATGTAATCCGTAACATTTATCCTAAAATGTTTGGTGTGCTGAATATAATAACACATAGCTTTTTTAACACACAATTTAATATTTCACAGCACAAGATAAATTATAAAGTAAATACCATTGTCTTTCTATCTTTCTAGAAACCTCCGTCTCTCCAGCCTTTCTGTCTCACTCTGTTTATTCTCCATTGTTTGACAGTAAAGGATGAAGTTAGATCAGCTTTACAAAACCAATCAATTAAAATCTCCAACTGCACCGCGCCCTCCTCCAACATCACATCTAACGCCATGCACCCCCAAGCACCGCCTCGCCCCTCCCGCCACAAGGACCCCCCAGCCCCCCGGGACGCGGACCCCGCTGTACCCCTCGTTAATAACCGTAAAGGAAGCCTGCTTCCTCCGGGGGTGGGGCTGGGTCTGGGGCCCCACGGGGGGCTCCGCTTCAGTATCTCTGGCCCCAGCAGAGGGGACGGGGCGGGCCGGGCCCTGGCCGAACAGAGCAGGCTGAACCGGGCCCGCAGCCTGCCGGTGAAATACCGCTACCACCCCAGTAACGCAACGCTGCACGGCCGCAGCAGCAGGGCCTGTAGGTTGCCCCTCTTGGCGTGATGCATCAGTCCCTGTCAGTTCTTAACACCCTGTACTGTCCTGTACTGTCACACTGCGTCCGTCGCCTGCCTTCACTGAGCTGCTGCTAGCTGCTGCTAGATGCTACTAGCTGCTGCTAGATGCTGCTAGATGCTACTAGCTGCTGCTAGATGCTACTAGCTGCTACTAGATGCTACTAGCTGCTGCTAGAGGCTGCTAGATGCCGCTAGCTGCCGCTAGCTGCTGCTAGATGCTACTAGATGCTACTAGCTGCTGCTAGATGCTGATGCTTGTTGTAAATACCACCACTGCCCTCGCTGCTGCTTTGCATGGAAGCAGCTCTCACGCGCTCAATAATGCAACACCCAGTGCTGTGTGTGTGGCTGCCAAGCTATGGAATAGGACTAGTAGATGACTTTGTAACACCTGGCATAGTGGTAGAACACATGCAGTTCTTAGTCCATCTGCAAAGAGAGGAATTTGTACAATATGTTATTGTTTATTGCGTTTGTATAGATGCCTTGAGAAGTTTGGGTAATTTTTATTTTATTTGAATTACATTTGGGTGATGATGTGACAGGAGAATTGCTGCCCTGATCATTCAGACAACAACAGTCTACTATATCAATCTCAGAGAGACTGTTGTGTAGATAGCGGTTTAGTTTTCAAAGTACTGTGATGTCATTGCTACAGTCACAGTCACAAGCTGTGATCTCCATGGCTACAGTGCAGAACATGTTTCATTGTTGGTGATCTAACTTACCGTCATTGTTGTTGTGTGTAATCACACTAGCTTTTAACAGAACTGATCGATCACACGGCCAAGGATATGAGACCGGCTAGGCCCAGAGATATGAGACTGGCTAGGCCCAGAGATATGAGACTGGCTAGGCCCAGAGATATGAGACTGGCTAGGCCCAGAGATATGAGACTGGTTAGGAACAGAGATATGAAACTGGCTAGGAACAGAGATATGAGACTGGTTAGGAACAGAGATATGAGACTGGCTAGGAACAGAGATATGAGACTGGCTAGGCCCAGAGATATGAGACTGGTTAGGAACAGAGATATGAGACTGGCTAGGCCCAGAGATATGGGCTCCTGAGTGGTGCAGTGGTCTAAGGCACTGCATCTCAGTGCTAGAGGCGTCACTACAGACCCTGGTTTGATTCCAGGAGCAGCGCACAATTGGCCCAGTGTCGTCCGACTTGCCTAGTTAAATAAAGGTTAAAAAATAAATACAAATAATAATATGAGACTGGCTAGGCCCAGAGATATGAGTCTGGCTAGGCCCAGATATGAGACTGGCTAGGCCCAGATATGAGACTGGCTAGGCCCAGAGATATGAGACTGGATGTATCAACTAACATAGAACAATAAGCCAACAGTAAATAATATTTTATTCTGTGATATTTTCACAAAGTGGATTAGACTAGAGAGCGATGCGGTTGTAAAGTGGAAAGCGCTTTCTTGTGATATTAGCTATTCAGGACATCCAAATTTGCAGAGCGGAAATGTCAGAGAATGGCATTTTATTAAGGGGCAAAGCCGCATTTTTATATTTTATTAGTGCAATTAGGTGACAGTCTAGAAGGGATGCTCAGACGGTAATGAAATGTCCTTGGTGCTCGGAGCAGTCAGCGCTTGCAGCTACGCGACATTGATTTGCAGTAATATCATGCTGTAGTATTGATTTCTATCCAATGCACTAATACAGGGTTTGAAGTGACGGTGGCGTTGGCATTTGTGTGCTGTGGAGAATACGAAGTGAATAAGAAAAGTGCCTGGGTGCCTTGTCTGACTCTGAAAGCCCTTGGAACTCAGACAGACGTTAGAAAAGACTGGTGTTAGCTAAACTGAAAGTCTTTAGTAGGGTAGTGGGCCTGGTGGGCCTGGACTAGTGGGCCTGGACTGGACTTCTCTCTAGCTGTGCCTTTCTCTTAGTCTTCTGTCTGGTTTGGAGGAACGTTTTAATCTCCTGCAGAGTGAGGAGTAGCAGACAGGAAAATGAACATCTATCAGATCAATCTAATCTAAAAGTGCTGCCTGACTGTAGTACAAGATTCATTTAAAAGAACATTTCACAAATGTTTTACTTCATTTTCATCAGCTCCAGCATCTCCATCTACATATGAGAAAATTGTGTGTTTCTATGTTTTGTAGAACTTTTTTTTTTACAATGATATCATCAACCAATTAGTAGGCAATGCCAACTCATAATTAATTAAAATCACACGATGCACACCGATGAGGTCATTGGAAACACTTATCTTCCTCTATCTTTTTTTGCTACAAAACCTAGAAACGCCTAGAGCCTAGACATTTTCACATATGTTGATGTTGGGGTTGGTGCTGGAGATTATGAATATGAAGTTGAACAATTTTAAATGTTCCTTTTAAAGCTGTACTCAGCAAGTTCATTCTTTGAATGTATTTAATACTTGTTATATTGATTATTAATGCATCAACCCTAGATTACGTTTGACAATTGAGGGTTTGCAAGCCCAGTAATTCTTTCAGATACTATATTTCAGCTATTTGAAATGGGTTGTTTTGACCTTCTTCTAGCTACTGGTGGGTGGTGTGTGCAGTGAACTAGCCATAATGCTAATGATAGGCTAATGCTAGGCTACTCAATCATTTCCTGTTTGGAGTGCTGGTTGTGCATGTGATTGGCTACTCTGGGATGCTCGTGCGGTGCTGATTGGCTGAGTGCTTGTGGCATGGAGCTTAAGTTAGACCTGTAGAAGAGCCATTGTGCTCAGTAGCTAGGGTTGCAAAATTCCCGTAACTTTCCCAAAATGTATAGGAGGATTCCGGATTTCCTTCTTGTTCCCACCTGACTCTAGGAATCTTCCAAAATTTTGGCAAAGTTACTGGAATTTTGAAACCCTATTCATAGCTAGAGCTGGAATGATGGGGTGAGGGTCTGCCTCATTAGTCATCCATTCAAAACAACCAAACTGCACAGAACCATCCTCTATCTTTATCCCTCTATCTCTGTCATTGCTTCTGTCCACGATGTTCACAATGACAGTCCGTCCTCGTCACATGTCCCGTATTGGCTTGCCTAGGGAAGCATGGGCACACTGATGCAGACTGCTAGAGGTCCAACCACATGCAGTTTTGACTGGATCTAAAGAGAGATACTGGAGCTAAAGTGATCCAGTACAGAGGAACCGAACCAAAGGGTTTGGGTTTTGGCGGAGTGTGCCGATGGCTAATTTGTCAGGTCTTACTTGGTGGTTTTTCTCCTGCCTTTGTCCCCTAATAATTAACGCTCTTTCTCTTTCTGTCAGTCTTCTCTCTGACTCTGATATGTTGTTTTATTAGTAAAAAAAAAAAAATGTTGTTGGTGTTTAGTTTTTTTGCTATGGTTGATTGATTGAGTGTTGGCTTTGGTGTTCTTTGACGTGTCAGTTCCAGCTCACATTAACCTCCCCATCTGTCCATAGCCTGACACTCTTTGCATTGTTTGCAGTTGAAGACGAGCACACGTCAACTCTGTCGCCCAAAAAAAAGCAGCGGAACGGAGGCATGCGAAACTCACCCAACAACTCCCCCAACATGATGAGGTAAGACATTGATTTGATGCTTCAAACAGAAAGATAGAAAGGAAGTGAGAGGGAGGGAGGGAGGGAGGAGGGAGGAGTGGGAGAGAGAAAGAGAGAGACGGATGGTTGGTGGGACTGGGGAAGGGGGGAACGAATAAGGAGGAGAGTAAGGAAGTCAGAGTGAGGGGTGGGAGAAGGAGAGAGAGTTAGATGGTGGTGGTGGGATGGTTGGAGGAGGGAGCGAAGAAGCGGGGTAGCCAAGCGAATGAGTGATAGAGGAGATGGGGAACAAAGGGAGAGTAAGAAGGAGAGGACGGCTTGGGTGTTTAGGCTGGCATGCTGTCGGACAGTAATGACGGCTGGGGTGTTTAGGCTGGCATGCTGTCGGACAGTAATGACAGAGCTGAAATATTCCTGTCATGAAAAAAAAAAGAATCCTCTGGCTTTAAAGTGTCATCTGTCACCCCACCACCCTGCCTTCATCCCCCTCCGGCCCCCTCCGGCCCCCTCCGGCCCCCTCCGGCACCCTACGGCCCCCTCCGGCACCCTCCGGCACCCTCCGGCACCCTCCGCCCCCCCACGGCCCCCTCCGCCCCCCTCCGGCCCCCTACGGCCCCCTCCGCCCCCCTACGGCCCCCTCCGGCCCTCCCGTCCACATGTAGTCCTTAAACAATGCTGGCACTAACAACACCAGCAACCAATCAGAGTCCTCCCCGTGGTTCCTCTGCCCCGGGGCAGTGCGATCTATTGTGGCACCACATGCGACTACTGTTTCTGCTACTTAAGGCCATATGTGAGATGTATCATCGCAATCAAAAATGAATTTGCAATATTACCTTCCTTTTATCCTGTCCTCTGGAATTAAATTGCTGTTAATTGACTTTGAAAGATAAAAGGGTTTAGGTTTTTGTGCGGAACGAGAGAGACGTTGGTAGGAACATGACGGCGTGAAAAATGCAGCGACAGAGAGAGGCGGGGGCTGTCCGATCTGGGTGGAGACGATGGGAGAACAAGGACATAGAGCCACTTCCTTTTAAGTGAGAGTGATCATTAGGGCCCTGTGTCTTACTGCATAATTATACATTGCCTTGTAAAAGTATTCATCCCCCTTGGTGTTTTTCCTATTTTGTTACATTACAACCTGTAATTTAAATGGATTTTTATTTGGATTTCATGTAATGGACATACACAAAATTGTCAAAATTGGTGAAATGAACTTGTTTAAAAAAATTCTAAAAAATAAATAACGGAAAAGTGGTGCGTGCATATGTATTCACCCCCTTTGCTATGAAGTCCCTAAATAAGATCTGGTGCAACCAATTACCTTCAGAAGTCACATAATTAGTTAAATAAAGTCCACCTGTGTGCAATCTAAGTGTCGCATGATCTGTCACATGATCTCAGTATATATAAATCAAATCAAATTGTATTTGTCACATACACGTGTTTAGCAGATGTTATTGCGGGTGTAGCGAAATGCTTGTGCTTCTAGCTCCGACAGTGCAATAATATCTAACAAGTAATATCTAACAATTTCACAACATATACCCAATACACACAAATCTAGTAAGGAATGGAATTTAAGAATATATACATACAGTGGGGAGAACAAGTATTTGATACACTGCCAATTTTGCAGGTTTTCCTACTTACAAAGCATGTAGAGGTCTGTAATTTTTATCATAGGTACACTTCAACTGTGAGAGGCGGAATCTAAAACAAAAATCCAGAAAATCACATTGTATGATTTTTAAGTAATTAATTTGCCTTTTATTGCATGATATAAGTATTTGATACATCATAAAAGCAGAACTTAATATTTGGTACAGAAACCTTTGTTTGCAATTACAGAGATCATATGTTTCCTGTAGGTCTTGACCAGGTTTGCACACACTGCAGCAGGGATTTTGGCCCACTCCTCCATACAGACCTTCTCCAGATCCTTCAGGTTTTGGGGCTGTCGCTGGGCAATACGGACTTTCAGCTCCCTCCAAAGACTTTCTATTGGGTTCAGGTCTGGAGACTGGCTAGGCCACTCCAGGACCTTGAGATGCTTCTTACGGAGCCACTCCTTAGTTGCCCTGGCTGTGTGTTTCGGGTCGTTGTCATGCTGGAAGACCCAGCCACGACCCATCTTCAATGCTCTTACTGAGGGAAGGAGAATGTTGGCCAAGATCTCGCGATACATGGCCCCATCCATCCTCCCCTCAATACGGTGCAGTCGTCCTGTCCCCTTTGCAGAAAAGCATCCCCAAAGAATGATGTTTCCACCTCCATGCTTCACGGTTGGGATGGTGTTCTTGGGGTTGTACTCATCCTTCTTCTTCCTCCAAACACGGGGAGTGGAGTTTAGACCAAAAAACTATATTTTTGTCTCATCAGACCACATGACCTTCTCCCATTCCTCCTCTGGATCATCCAGATGGTCATTGGCAAACTTCAGACGGGCCTGGACATGCGCTGGCTTGAGCAGGGGGACCTTGCGTGCGCTGCAGGATTTTAATCCATGATGGCGTAGTGTGTTACTAATGGTTTTCTTTGAGACTGTGGTCCCAGCTCTCTTCAGGACATTGACCAGGTCCTGCCGTGTAGTTCTGGGCTGATCCCTCACCTTCCTCATGATCATTGATGCCCCACGAGGTGAGATCTTGCATGGAGCCCCAGACCGAGGGTGATTGACCGTCATCTATAACTTCTTCAATTTTCTAATAATTGTGCCAACAGTTGTTGCCTTCTCACCAAGCTGCTTGCCTATTGTCCTGTAGCCCATCCCAGTCTTGTGCAGGTCTACAATTTTATCCCTGATGTCCTTACACAGCTCTCTGGTCTTGGCCATTGTGGAGAGATTGGAGTCTGTTTGATTGAGTGTGTGGACAGGTGTCTTTTATACAGGTAACGAGTTCAGACAGGTGCAGTTAATACAGGTAATGAGTGGAGAACAGGAGGGCTTCTTAAAGAAAAACTAACAGGTCTGTGAGAGCCGGAATTCTTACTGGTTGGTAGGTGATCAAATACTTATGTCATGCAATAAAATGCAAATTAATTACTTAAAAATCATACAATGTGATTTTCTGGATTTTTGTTTTAGATTCCGTCTCTCACAGTTGAAGTGTACCTATGATAAAAATTACAGACCTGTACATGCTTTGTAAGTAGGAAAACCTGCAAAATCGGCAGTGTATCAAATACTTGTTCTCCCCACTGTATATGGACAAGCAATGACAGAGCGGCATGGACTAAGATAAAGTAGAATATTATAGAATAGAATACAGTATATACATATGAGATGAGTAGTGCAAGATATGTAAACATTATTAAAGTGACTAGTGTTCCATTTCTTAAAGTGGCCAGTGATTTCAATAGGCAGCAGCAGCGTCTAATGTGCTAGTGATGGCTATTTAACAGTCTGATCGCCTTGATATAGAAGCTGTTTTTCATTATCTCGGTCCCAGCTTTGATGCACCTGTACTGACCTCGCCTTCTGGATGATAGCGGGGTGAATAGGCAGTGGCTCGGGTGGTTGATGTCCTTGGTGATCTTTTTGGCCTTCATGTGACATCGCGTGCTGTAGGTGTCTTGGAGGACGGGTAGTTCGCCCCCGGTAATGCGTTCGGCAGACCGCACCACCCTCTGCGGTTGTGGGCGGTGCAGGTGCCGTACCAGGCGGTGATACAGCCTGACAGGATGCTCTCAATTGTGCATCTGTTAAAGTTTGTGAGGGTTTTAGGTGCCAAACCAAATTCATTCAGCCTCCTGAGTACAACCTGTTATGAAAGGCCTCAGAGTCTGCAACACCACTAAGCAAGGGGCACCACCAAGCAAGTGGCACCATGAAGACCAAGGAGCTCTCCAAACAGGTCAGGGACAAAGTTGTGGAGAAGTACAGATCAGGGTTGGGTTATAAAAAAATATCAGAAACTTTAAACATCCCACGGAGCACCATTAAATCCATTATTAAAAAAGGATTATGGCACCACAACAATCCTGCCAAGAGAGGGCTGCCCACCAAAACTCACGGACCAGGCAAGGAGGGCATTAATCAGAGAGGCAACAAAGAAACCAAGAGTTGCCAGAAAAAAGCCATTGCTTAAAGAAAAAAATAAGCAAACACGTTTGGTGTTCGCCAAAAGGCATGTGGGAGACTCCCCAAACATATGGAAGAAGGTACTCTGGTCAGATGAGACTAAAATTGAGCTTTTTGGCCATCAAGGAAAACGCTGTCTGGCGCAAACCCAACACCTCTCATCACCCCGAGAACACCATCACCACAGTGAAGCATGGTGGTGGCAGCATCATGTTTTTCATCGGCAGGGACTGGGAAACTGGTCAGAATTGAACGAATGATGGATGGCACTAAATACAGGGAAATTCTTGAGGGAAACCTGTTTGTCTTCCAGAGATTTGAGACTGGGACGGAGGTTCACCTTCCAGCAGGACAATGACCCTAAGCATACTGCTAAAGCAACACTTGAGTGGTTTAAGGGAAAACATTTAAATGTCTTGGAATGGCCTAGTCAAAGCCCAGACCTCAATCCAATTGAGAATCTGTGATATGACTTAAAGATTGCTGTACACCAACGGAACCCATCCAACTTGAAGGAGCTGGAGCAGTTTTGCCTTAAAGAATGGGCAAAAATCCCAGTGGCTAGATGTGCCAAGCTTATAGAGACATACCCCAAGAGACTTGCAGCTGTAATTGCTGCAAAAGGTGGCTCTATAAAGTATTGACTTTGGGGGGGGGGGGGGGGGGGGTGAATAGTTATGCACGCTCAAGTTTTCAGTTTTTTCTTAAACTGTCATGGAAAAGAAAACAATCATGACAATGTATCCGTTTGGTTGTTGTTCAATTCAATCTTTAACCAAAAACAACACAAAGCAATAACACATGAATTAAAGATTCTATCATTTTGTTTGCAAATTTCTTCTTACAACCAAAGTTATCTCATTTTCTCATAGTTTCAAGTTTCAAGTTTAAATGTCACGTGCACAAGTTCAGTGAAATGCCTTTATTGCAAGCTCTAAACCCAACAATGCAGTGATCAATATCAATGTGTCAGATGCACAAAGTGCTAGAAAGGTGGTGCTGTTCATTTAAACATTGTATTTTGGTTTATAGGATATTTTTCTGTATAGTGTATGTTCTCTGCAAAACTCAATC